ACCTCGCGCCGGGTCTTCGCCTCTCAGGATGTCACCTTTGACGAGTCGGTCCCTTTTTACCGTCTCTTCCCCTACCGCACTGCCCCCCTCCCTCCCCCGCCGCTTTTCCTTGCTCCTGGTCCCCCTCCGGTAGACCCCCTTCCCCCTCAGGGTCCTGCTCCTTCAGGTGTCTCTCAGGTAGACCCTCCTCCCGTCGCTGAGCCTGTCGAGGTCACAGGTGACTCAGGTGCTGCTGCGGGTGGTGCTGCTGGGAGTGCTGAGCCTGGGGGTGCTGAGCCTGGGGGTGCTGGGTCTGGGGGTGCTGGGGCTGCAGGTGCTGGGACTGAGGGTGCTGGAGCTGAGGGTACGGTGCCTGAGAGTACGGAGCCTGGGGGTGCTGAGCCTGGGAGTGCTGGGACTGCGGGTGCTGGAGCTGAGGGTACTGTGCCTGAGAGTTTGCCGCCTGGGGGTGCTGAGCCTGGGGGTACTGCGTCTGGGGGTGCTGAGCCTGCGGGTACTGAGCCTGCGGGTACTGAGCCTGGGGGTGCTGCTACTGAGCCTACGGAGCCTCGGGTTACTGCGTCTGGGGGTGCTCCGGTTCGGGGTACTGAGCAGTCTCTCACACCGCAGCAGCTTCGTGACTGGTACGTCCGACGCTTTCGCCGTCCTAGTGGCTCGGCTGGAGTTGGGGGTGCTGGAGCTGCTCGTCCTGGGGGTGCTCGTACTGGGGGTACTGGAGCTGCCGGGACTGGCTGTTCTGGGAGCACTGCGACTGGAGCTGCTGGAGCTGGGGACTCTGGCGCTGGCGGTGCTAGCGGAGTTGGAGCTGCCGACTCTGGGGGTGGCGCTGCTGCTGGTGCTGCGGACCCACCTGGTGGAGCTGCTGCTGGTGCTGAGGAGTCGGACGGTGGAGCTGCTGCTGGAGCTGGGGACCCGGCCGGTGGAGCTGCCACTGGTGCAGAGGACCCGGCCGCTGGAGTCCCGTCTGCTTCTGGAGACGCTGCGCGGCCGCGACCGTACTTCGTACCGCTCCTTCAGCAGGTTCTTGGGCAGGCTCCTCCTCCTTGTCCTCCTCCCTCCGTAGAGTGTCCTCCGCCTGTCCAGCCGCAGTCACAGTTACCGCCTGCCTCGCCTCTCCCTGCTCCCTCTCCTTATACTGGTCCCACAGGAGGTCTTACAGAGCGTCGTGAGCCTGAGTCTCGTCCTGCGTCGCCTGTTCGTCCTGCTCGCACTGGTAGTCGTGTCCGTCGTGAGCGTCCTCCTCCTGTCCCAGGCACTCACTACATGACTCTGCGTCCCTCTACTGCTCCTCGGCGTGTCCCTCTACCGTCTCCTCCTGCGTCCTCTTTGCCTGCCGTTCCGGACCCTGAGTCTGACCGGTATCGCACTGAGCACCCTACAGTCACGCGTCTCCTTGCTACTGTTGTCACTGACCCCACCTTTGAGTCCTCGGCTGCGTCTGCTCTGGTCGCTGAGTTGGTTGACTTTGCTGCTGCCTGTCGTCTAGACTACGCTGCTAGCCTTGTCGCTGAGTCAGAGTCTGCGTCAGTCTGTCCTCCGTCCGTCGGGGGTGAGTGTGCTCTTGGCACGGACGTCCTTGAGGACAGGCAGGAGGACTTTGACTCACTTGCGGCTGCTGTACCTCATCTCGTGGCCTGGTTGCTTGCCCCTGAGGGAGACCCGGATGCAGTAGACATCCCCACTCCGCGCACTTACGCAGAGGCGATCTCGGGTCCCTACTCCTCTCAGTGGCAGACAGCCATGGACGCAGAGATGGCATCCTGGAAGTCCACAGGCACCTACGTCGACGAGGTTCCCCCTCCTGGGGCGAACATCGTCGATGGCATGTGGATTTTCAGGGTGAAGAGGCCGCCGGGTTCTCCGCCTGTCTTCAAGGCTCGTTACATTGCTAGAGGCTTCAGTCAGCGTCAGGGGGTCGACTTCTTCCAGACCTTCTCCCCCACCCCGAAGATGACCACTCTTCGGGTTCTGCTGCACGTTGCTGCTCAGCGTGACTACGAGCTTCACTCTCTTGACTTCAGCACAGCTTTCCTGCAGGGCAGCCTGCACGAGGAGATCTGGCTGCGCCGCCCACCTGGCTTTACTGGGTCTTTTCCCCCTGGTACCCAGTGGAGTCTCCGCCGGCCAGTCTACGGTCTCTGCCAGGCGCCACGTGAGTGGCACGACACACTGAGGACTACACTTGCGGCTCTTGGGTTCGCGCCGTCTACTGCTGACCCGTCGCTGTTTCTGCGCACAGACACGTCGCTGCCGCCGTTCTACATTCTCGTGTACGTCGACGACTTGGTCTTTGCTACTGCTGACACTGAGGCACTCGCTCGTGTGAAGTCGGAGCTGCAGAAGAGACACACCTGCACTGACCTGGGTGAACTGCGTAGCTACCTTGGCTTGCAGATCACCCGGGACAGAGCTCGCCGCACCATCACCCTGACTCAGTCACACATGGTGCAGCAGGTCCTTCAGCGCTTCGGCTTCCAGTTCTCCTCACCACAGGCCACACCTCTGGCTACCAGCCACTCGCTCTCAGCTCCACCTTCGGACGAGTCCGTAGAGCCGAGTGGCCCGTACCCAGAGCTTGTAGGCTGCCTCATGTACCTGATGACTTGCACGCGACCTGACCTCGCGTACCCTCTTAGCATCCTTGCTCGTTACGTTGCGCCTGGGAGACACAGGCGAGAGCACTGGGAGGCTGCTAAGAGGGTGCTGCGGTACCTGTGCAGTACATCAGGCATGGGGCTGGTGCTTGGAGGACGCGACAGAGTTGTCCTCACTGGTCACTCGGACGCCTCTTGGGTGGACGACCTGGCTACGCAGCGGTCGTCACAGGGTTACACCTTCAGCCTTGGCTCTGGCTCTGTCTCGTGGCGGTCCACCCGCTCTTCCTCTGTTCTCGGCTCTAGTTGTGAGGCTGAGATCTACGCCACAGCCATGGCTGCACAGGAGTTACGCTGGCTCACCTACCTGCTGACTGACTTGGGAGAGCGGCCTAGTTCTCCTCCAGTTCTGTACGGTGACAACAAGGCGGCTCTTGCCTTGTGTCAGGAGCACAGACTGGAGCACAGGACGAAGCACATTGCTCTTCGCTACTTTCTTGCTCGAGAGCTTCAGCAGCGCGGTCAGCTTCGGCTTGTGTACGTGGACTCGAAGGCCAACACTGCTGATATCTTCACCAAGGCGCTCCCGCCTAGTGATCATCAGCGGCACTGTACTTCTTTAGGCCTTGTGTCCACGTTTCCTCACTTGCTCACTGCTTGACATTCTTTGTACTGTACTTTATATATATCTTGTTGCTTGCTTGCTAGGTTTTGATCACTGTGTTGCTTGTCTTGTACTATATCTAGCACTGCATGTGAACTGGCCTTGTGGCCTTTACTTGTGCTCGGAGTGTGGTGACGTTGTGATCCACCCTGGGCTTTGCTTTGCTTTGCTGGACTGGTCTTGTGACCCTTTGTTCTCCCCCACTTTGCCTATGGGGGTGTGTTAAACTGTATTATGCTTGTAGGCTGTAGTGGGGTAGCCAATATGGGGTACAACCCCAACTAGGGTTTCATATTTGTACCCAAACTTCTGCTAGTTCATTCATTCTTGCCTAGTGATTCTGACAATTGTAGGCTCTGAATACCTAGTGTTACGAGCACAATTGAGTGAGCGAGCGAGAATTGCACTATGAAAGCAGAACATTACATTGAACGAATGCATGAGCGAAACTTGTAGAGCGAAGCTAGCGTGGTAACGGTAATGCAGCGGAGGCTGGGAATTATTGAGGCGTAGGTCCGGAGCGCGGGTTACTAACCGAACCGTGAGGTTGGGTCGCGTCGTGAACAGTGGCGGAAACAGTAGTTAAGGCGAGCGTCGCGAGTGGTAACGATGCACATTTTAGAACTGTTGGCGGCAACTAAGGAAAAGGAAATTTCCTAACACTTGTGAAGTAGATTGTACGAGATTATATTGCCCTTGTAGAACTTGTAGAATTTAATACTTCGTGCAAAAATGGGTTGTGCAGCTTCCTGTGAGTAAAATCGAAGCACCTTTCGCCGAGGACTGAGGAATCCATTTCTTAGGCTTCCAGAATGCCATACAGCTCCGCTATTGGCTTAGAACATACGAACAATCTAGTTGTGCTCGTGGGCCTGCAGCGCTGTCAACAACAAGCGACCGCGCCGGAATATAACACTCCGTGATTGGTAAATCCCAAATTGCCTATCTACACGTGTATGAAATGTCAGAGGTCCACTGGTGATCCCCGATTGATCCTAGGGAAGGGTTACAGGCATGGCGGCCTGGGGGGTTATGGGCGCACTCACCCGCTACACAAACAAGCCCTTTTATCCCAGTGGTTAGTGGCTGGGATTCTGACATGGTATCAGAGCGAAGGTCTCGGGTTCGAATCCCGGTGTGTGCACTTCGGGCATCCCAGTGCGGGGGGGTGTCAGAGGTCCACTGGTGATCCCCGATTGATCCTAGGGAAGGGTTATAGGCACGTCGGCCTGGGGGGTTATGGGCGCACTCACCCGCTACACAAACAAGCCCTTTTATCCCAGTGGTTAGTGGCTGGGATTCTGACATGAAACGCCTACGTGGCCTCCACCTGTTAGTTCCAGCTCGCAGCGCAGCGTCTGGAAGGTTTGACGCTGCGTGGTCCTTAAATCTTCTACGGCCAACTTCATTGATACTCAAATTATGCCAGAGACATTTTGCAACGGTACTCAACCTCGATTTCTCATCGCTGATTGATTATCGCTTTTCAATCAAATTTTACACACAAAAAACACTTCCGCAATGTGAAAGAAACAGAACGTAGTTACCAAACTTCAATATGAATAATTGTGTTGAGGTGCTACCAAGAATATACAAAAACCTCTATTTTCTCATACCGCGCCGGCTGCCGCCCGGTCAGCAAGTCAAACAGGATAATCCCAAGGGCATACACATCCGATTTCGGGCTGAAATCACCCGTCCGCTGATACTCCGGGTCGACATAAGCAACGGTCCCGATCGGCATGGACGTGTGCGCGTGCGTAACATTAAAGCCCTGGTCCGAGCCCCCCCTCCCCGGCATCTGCCTCGCGACCCCCACGTCGGCCAGCTTCGCAACAAGCCGTTCGTCAAATTAATAAAACTCGTTAAGAAACCGGAGGCAACATGTTAAAGGATCAACCCTAAGCAATGAGCGCATTCCTAACGTCTGGTCGATTATATAAGGGTTTTAGTTTTCTTTCTTGTTTTGTTTTCAGGGGTACGTGCGGGAAAGTAGCTGGTGGTGCCTTTGATTGAGAATTGTGCTTATAATATGAAGTTACAGTATAAGTAGATACTCTACCGAGAATTTGTTTGGTTGAGTACGCTTGCAAAACGCTCCTGGCATAATTTGAGTATCAATGAAGTTGGCCGAATCTTCTAGCTCGGCATTTTGCCCCTCCAACTCAGCGTGACTGGGAATCTATCATTCCCCCATCCCCTTTTCCGTTCTCTTCGCTCCTGCGATGGAAATTCTCAACCTGAAAGGCACATTTTTTCGTTGAACCCCATCAGCCAGCCAAACCCACCGCCTGATTCTTAGCTTGATCTTCCTCCAGCTAGGAAGCAGACCGTTCGATCTCTCATTTCTTGAGACTCCCTTCCCACATTCGCTTTGAACAATGGCTCAAGCGACTTCCGTTGCGAGGTTGAACATCGCCTGCGCGGCGCCAGCGAATACCAGCGCTGCCGCCAGGCCGCAGCGACAAGAGGCGTCGCTCGTGGCGTCGTGGAGGAAGGCGCGCGTCGCCAGACCGGTGGTGCTCAGTGCCAGCGCGCAGGTGCAGGCTGCTCCCCGGGTGTCCGCACGCTCTGTAGCGGTCAAGGCATCAGCAGGCGCCGCCGACGAGGTAAACCAACCCCAACCAGCCCTGACCTGTCATGATTAATTCTGAGGTGTCCACACATTGCACGGGCCCACCGCTTCGTAAATCGCTCTATTTTGATTGTGTGTGTGTGTGTTTTTTTTTTTTTTCGTTGCAAACAGACGTCCATTCCCTTTTCAACCTGGACACGCGTCCACTCGTCGAAGCCGATAAGATCATACATACTTAACCACTGAAACTCATTATGCCTGCAATCCTCTCACCACGTTAGTCTCTCATCTCGCTTCGCTTCCCCCTCCCACATGCATACGCGTTTCCCTCGGCGTCCCGCGCGAGTGCAGGCGGGCACCAAGTACCACTTCGTGGTGGCGAACGCGACGTTCATGCTGGACGAGGAGGAGCACTTCCAGGAGCAGCTCAAGGAGCGGCTACGGTGGCTGAACGAGAAGGGCATGGAGCAGAACTTCTGGCTCGTCTTCGAGCCCAAGTTCCTCGAGGAGTTCCCCGAGATCGCCAAGCGCGTCAGGAGACCCGCCGTCGCGCTCGTCTCCACTGACGCCACCTGGATCACGTAAGCCTAGCCTCTCCATCTCCTGCCCTTATCTCTCCGTTCTCCCGTGAGTTATTCTCTTTTTCGTCCCTCCAAGGCTTCTCTTTGCCTTAATGTTCCGCTCGTGCTCTTCTATCCTCTCGTCCGCGCGTCCTCTCCTATCCTCTCGTCCTCGTTTTCTCCTATCATCTCGTCCTCTCGTCCGAACCTCCTTCCCTAGCTTCTCTTCTGATCCTCCTTTCCTTTCCTCGTCCTATCCTCCTTTCCTTTCCTCTCGCCCTATCCTCCTTTCCTGTCCTCTCGTCCTATCCTCATCTCCTGTCCTCTCGTCCTATCCTCATCTCCTGTCCTCTCGTCCTATCCTCACCTCCTGTCCTCTCGTCCTATCCCCCTTTCCTGTCCCCTCGCCCCTATCCTCCTGTCCTGTCCTCCCTTCCTATCCTCCCTATCCTCCTGTCCTGTCCTCTTCCTATCCTCCTGTCATGTCCTCTTCCTATCGTCCCTTACTGTCCTCTCTTCCTATCCTCCCTTCCTGTCCTCTCTTCCTCTCCTTTCTTCTCCTGTATTTTTCATTCTCCTCCCCTATACTCTCCCTCCTTCCGTCACTCACGCGCATGCTCGTCCTCAAAACCTTTCGGCCTGGGACATCTGCGTCTCGTACACATTGGGATACATTTCAAACGGATTGCAATTGAGCCATTGTTTGGGAACGGTACCCATGGAAGCGAATCTACTGTTTCTGTGACGTTGGAACCGATGCTGTTCCGTTATCTCAACGCTTAAGGGCCTTTCGACCCCAGTCTCTGCTTCAGATGTTGCATTGCTTTGCGTCACAAACATTTCCTGCATCCTGGTTGTGTCTCTTGCGTCGCATCCATGGTCTCTGTTTTTTCTCCCTCGTCACCTCCTTTCGTAACCCCCATTCTCCCCCACCATAAACCTGCACCCCCCGTTCCCTGCACGTTCCTCCCCGCTCCCCCCTTGCCACCCATAATCTAATTCGACTGAAAACAATGGTTGGTTTTTCTGTCCGCAACTCGTGTGCGACCGTGCGTTTGTGGCAGGTTCATGAAGCTGCGTCTGGATCGCGTGCTCAAGGGCGAGTTCGAGGCGAGCTCACAGGACGACGCATTGGAGGGCAAGCCCTTCGACATCACCTTCCCCAAGCCCGCCAACTGGGTTGCGCCCTATCCTAAATACGAGCCCAACTGGTGGAATCCCTATGCCCCGGCCAAGTATGCCAAGGCCAACTAAATGGGTTTGGGCTAGGGACTGGGTGTGCTGTGCTGGGTTTTGCTAGCGAAGTGACTTGTTGTCAGGCTTGACACAAAATTGCACAAAATTTTGGCGTCCTTGAGATGAGATCAGGGAAGGTAGGGAACTGAATCTGGAAATCGTTATGCTGTATGTCAGCTGCAATAACTGCCTTAATTGGTTGACTCATAGTGGAAACTAAAGAGAAATCCGCTCATACCGGTACTCTTGTATCAGTGTAAGGATAAACCCTTTTTCCTTACTGGGGTTTACTCAACCGCGTACAACCCCAACTTTCGGAAGTGCACGTTCGGCCGCTTTGCTTGCTGCCGAAGCAACCTCGCGTCGCCTTCGGCTTTCCTTTGCCCAACCTGCACTCAACCTCGTGTTCCCGAGGTTCCCGCCTAGTTAGGTTGCCTCGCTATATAATCGCATGTCTTTCATTGTATCGTCAGTTCATTGAGTCACAGCCTCGTTATTCGTTATTCCGCGCAACTCTGTTTGACAACTCATAACAATCAGAATTGAGAAAGAACCCCTTTCGTTCCTGCTGCACTCGAAACTGGTCTGGTGTTGGAAAAATAAAAAACATAGCACTCCAACTTTCCAAAACATTGCTAAAAAAACTTCAGACTTCAAGTTGGACCCAACTAAAAGGGGGGTTCACTATTTTAGCTGCTGGCTTTAACACTAACACACTACTGTATTCCTGTATACTGGCAAATTAAGGGCATCGAGAACCAGGACCTCAGAATTCAGAGAAATTTGTCTGATTTGATTGGAAAACTCTGAGATTTCATATTTTTTTGAGAGTGTACTCTGAGAAATTCAGATTTTTTTTTGGCTTGAACTATGAGAAATTTAGATTTTTGTTTTAGGCTGACTCTGAGATTTCATAGATTTTCGTAAGTGTACTCTGAGGAATTCAGAGTACAATCGAGTACCGACTCTGATAGAAACTACCTGTCCACCGACACCCAGGATTACCCGCGGTACATTGTACCAGTGGGCGACGCCGCCCTGCGGCGCGGTGTTCCCTTCGTACAGCTGGAAGATTCCCCCGCCCTGCGGTGCGATGTTTCCCACGGTGTAAGCTCCAGCACACACTCTGTTAGAGCACTGATTGGTCCGTTTGGCAGCTTTTGACTGCCATCACGAACCCCACCACCACCAGTGTCCACATTGCTGCAGCAGTTGCCACCCACGTAAATGTGATGGCAAGCTGACGTTGCCAAGAAGACCATTTAATTGGTCCCTTTGGCAGCATCGTGTACCACACGAAACATTCCTCCCAGCTGTGCACGGCAGACGCGCCTCGTCGTTGCCGAGCATGCTAGGCAACCAGCGACCTGAGGCACGGATGGCCCCAGTCAGTTATAGGGCCATCCGCATCGAGCTAGGGTTTCATCCCCATCCCTCAGCTCAGCTTCTACTCACAGGTCCCCTCCACTGCCCAGTTCAGTTGCCTCAGAACCGCCTCACGTTCCTGCTCGGCAGGCTCTCCCAACTCGTCGCCATGGCTCAGCCCGACAATTCCGCTGCCTCCGATGACGACGACCCTGGATCGCAGCCTGCGTTAACAGGCTTAGATTTCCTCCTCAGTCACCTAGCTCTCGAGAAGGTAGCACGCGCCGAGCCCGATTCAGTCCCCACCTTGAAGGAACCTCCAGCACCCGTGATCTCAAATCCCGACCCCGTGGAAGAGTCACCTGCGGAACCAACTGTCGTTACGGCATCGCACCATCCCGCTCAGACCAAGGCGCGAACCTTCCGCCTCAAGCAGGCGACATTGAGCTTCGCCAAGCCGTCAAGTTCGACCGCCGACGTCAACAATTCTCCCCGCACGGCTGACCGTCCGCGACCACGCCTTACCGTTAATCTGGCCGAGCTCATTGAAGGGCTGTACGATGATGCCATCGACAAGTTCAAGAGTCAATGGCAAGCGTGGTTTCCCTGGCTGCAAATCACCAAAACCACCTCCGGCTTGCCTGCCTTCAAGTGTACTGTGTGTGCAGCTTATGCAGGCGACGGAGGCAAGTGCGGGAGACACGGCAAAGGAGCCACGGACTTGCAGACCCAGTCGTTCCGTAAACACGCGGGCACGGCGAAGCACAAGCTGGCGATGGCGAGACAAACAGCAGTGCAGGAGTGCGGAGCGAGGCAGCCGCAGATCGACCAACATCGCGCCACCACGGACGGAGAGCAATCGCGCGTCGTCGCCCTTCTCGACTCCCTGCTGTTCATCAGCAGGTCCGATGCGCCGATGGGGATGTGGGTGAAGCTTGTGCGTTACCTGGCGGAGAAGGGCATGCCTGGCTTCCCGAAGAAGGGCTATGGCACCTACTATACCACGTAAGTGCAATTGCCGGATGTTATTTGATGCATTTTCTTGATCCTGTTTGATGCATTTCCTGTCTGTTTGATCCTGGAGTTAATGTGCAAACTATTGTCACTGCATGCAGATACGGTTTCGGGGAGCTGACGCAAGCGACTGCGACATGGCTGCAGACCACCCAGCTGGAACACGTTCTGGCGTCGCCCTTCGTCGGCATCGCTATCGACGAGAGCACGGATAGGTGCAGCGGGAAGCACCTGATCCTCTTCGTCTCGTTCATTCGTGACTAATGATGTTTGCATCTTGTGTACAGGGAGGCACTCGCGGCCAAAACGGCGGCCGAGAAGGTTCCGGCCTTCAATGTCATCGACTTGGTCATTCGCACCGTGGCAGAGTATCTCGGCCGTTCGGGACCGTGGCATCAACGGTTCATGGAGCTCCAGGAAGTCTTCGCGTCAACCTCTCTTGAACTCCAGGGCATTCATTCCGTCCGGTGGCTTTCGCGTGGCGACGCAGTGCTCAGGCTAGTCGCGGTGCTGCCGGCACTCATTGTGATGCTCAAGGAGTGAGACGCGGACCTCTATGCTCTGGTTACGAGCTACAGGTTTCATTTCCTGCTCTTCTTCATTGCAGATGTGCTTGAGCAGCTCAACATCCTGAACCGGGTGTTCCAGCAGAAGGAGGTGAGGTTGCCCATAGCTGTCTGTTGATGTTGTGTTGTATGTTTGTTAACCTTGATCAACCACTAACTACAGTGTTTTTGTTTTCTGTCCAGCTTGACTATGCCGGCGTGGCTGCCCAGATAAAGCGCACAACCTCCCACATCGAGAGCCGCTAAGTTGATTGCGGCGACGACTTCGGTGGCGGGGTGAGCGAGCGGCTGTCCCCCTTCATCGCGCGCTATGGGGCACCCCGAAACCGGGAGGTGAGAGTTGAAGGCATTGACTCGGACGGCCGCCCAGCACACTTCACATTCGTGCTGCATGAGGACAAGGTGGAGGACTTCGAAGGGCCCGGGAGCCATGACGACTGCGTGGCACTCTGCACGGAGTTCGCGGAGGTGATTGTTCACCAACTCGAGCATCGCCTAGGTGACCTGGATTGGATGTCCGGGGTGAAGCTGTTCCTGCCAGACGAGTACCCGCTGGATTGAGCCGAGAGGAAACGGCGGTGCCTTCAGTGGCTTCAGTCGCTGGTCACCTTGTTCAAGGCCGACCAGACGGAGGAGATCGTGCCAGGTAAGCCTTATCATCCTGCATCGTTGCTCTGCGTCTGTACTGTGCGATGCATGTTTCCTTGTATGTGTTTAATCTTCCCGCTCTGTTTGTTAACTCATTCCAATCTGCTGTTTACCCAATCCCGCCAGGAGTCAACAAGCGCCGTGCAGAGAAGGAGCTGCGCATGTTTACATCGGTGCTTGCAGCCTCTACCAAGGGTGAGCGCAGTTTCCACGCGGGCCTCACAGCCATGCTCAAGACGCCGGACTGGCGGGACAACTACCCCAACCTTGTTCATCTGTGGGTGGCGGTAGCTGTCCTGCCACTGAGCACCGTGGAGTGCGAGCGGGGGTTCTCGAGGCAGAACATTATCAAGTCGTGGAAGAGAGGCGCCCTGAAGGATGCTCGGCTGGGCGACCTCATGTGCATGAGCCTCATGGACTACGAACCCAACTGGGAGGAGATCCTGACGATCTGGAGGGCCTACAAGAAGCGCAAGCCCCACAGCAACGCTTCTATCCCGCCTGCAGGAAAGCAGCAGAAGGAGGCCAAGGAGGCAGAGGAGGTGATGGAAGTAGAAGACGTAGAGCAGGATGATGAGGCATCCGATGATGATGATGGATTTTGAAGAGTAGCCTAGAGTAGATAGGATAGGATAGGACCTCTGTAGCTACTAGTTTTGACTCTTGACTGTTATGTGCTAGTAGTATGTATGTACTATGTAGTGTAGGCCAGCTGTGCGTAGTACAACATCTCAGACTCTGGTATGTGGTAGACTCTGAATGCATCAGACTTTTTTTTTAGGGCGCTCTGAAGTTTCAGCCTTTTTTTCCAACCAACTCTGACCAAAACAGACTAACAGAGTGTACTAACTCTGACCAATCAGACAGGCAAAAAACGAATCTGAGGGCCTGTCGAGAACAAACCTGCACCACGTGCTTTCTAGAACGTGCCAGCTTATCCTGGTTCTAACAAGCTCCTCTTGTGCAAGAGCTTCTCTTCCAAATTGTCCAGTCTCGCTCCTCCCCCCCCTTTTCCCCGCCCTGCTAGGTGAAAAGCCACATGCTTGCTCTTCAAGCATCACTTTCCTGTGGGGCCAAGCGGAACAGCGTATCGCAGAGCGCCAGCAGGTCCCCTGGCCTCAGCTCCACAGGCCTCTCTATCCCCTTGGAGAAGTCCCGGCCCACCACCCCCTCCACCATTGCCCTCGGCACCCCTGCACCTTGGCTCCCTCTACCTGCCTGACCGTGCTGACCCTGTTGACCCCCTTGACCCCCTTCCGCCTCCTCCATGCCTTCCACCCCATGCAGTGCGCCCACCATCCCGCCCACAATAGCGGCATTGGTATCCGTGTCCCCCCCTCTCATCAGAGTGTCTTCGATTGCCTCTTCATAGCTGGACTGCCTCAGAAGGTGGTAGAAGGCCAGCAGGAACCCCCACTTCACCCACCCGATGCTCTGCGTGCACTCCACCTGCAGCGCACACCCCTTGCCCCCAGCCTGCTTGCTGCTGTCATTGCCTTGCGTGTCTGCCACGCCTGCCTGCCGCCCTTCTCCTCCATGCTCCACCCCTCTCTCCCCCCCTTGCTCTCCCCCTTTTCCCGCCTCTCCTGCCTTTCCCCTCCCACCTGCCCCCAGGGCGCCCATCACCTGCTGCAGCGCCTGCTTCCCCCACCCGCCCACAGACCCTCTGCCCGCCTGCCTGCCCTGCACACCCCTCCCTGCACTCCCTCTGCCCGCTGTTGCACCGGCCCCACTCGCTGCCGCCCTCCCCTCGCCACCCCCCTCCGCTGCCACTGCCACCCGCACATGCTCCAGCCACTCACCCACCGTCTCAGCCCCTCCCTTTTTCCCTCCGCCCCCAACCCACATCGCACCTCCCCTTTTCCCTTCCCCTGCCGCCCACGTCGCAGCCTGCTCAAACGCGCCCTGCGCATCCCCTGGGTGGTTGATGAGGTGCGCGATGGCTATACAGTAAGCAGCGGAGGCGGCGCGGCATGTGGGGTTGGTGTGCGAAAGAGACGCGTCCAGAGCCGCGCACTGCGCCACGGCGTGTGGGGGCAGGCGGTGCGCCCACACCGCCAGCGGCGTCACTCGCATCAGCGCGCCGTTCGCCTGGCTGTTCATGCAAGTTGCGGCGTTTGTCTGCATCTGCTTCGCCATCTGCCGCTCCAGTTGCTCCGTCTTCGCTTGTTCCGCTGAGGAGTACGGGGAGAAGGGGGAAGAGACAAAGCCGCCGCCGGGGGGAGGCGGGTGGGGGAAGCGGAACGCGGTGGCGCACGTGTTGCCCATGTCAAACGGCCTGGAGGACCCCCAAAAGTGGTACGCGCGCGCCACGCGCCCCAGCGGGAACCCGCCCTCCCAATACCCCCCGCGCGCTGCTCCCGCTGAGCCGCTGCCGCTTCCCGGCTCCGCCGCCGCATGCTCCGTTCCGCGCGACGCGCAAGCACCCGCGCCGAGAGACGCGTCTCCCGGCGGGGGGGAGTGACTACTGCTAGTACTTGCACCTCGAGTGGCAGCAGGCGGCGCGCGCGCGGCGACGAGGGCGCGCGCGAGGCAAAGCGCGAGCTCGCTGTCGTCCGTAATCTGCCCCGGACCCACGCGGAAGACGCCGCCGCCCGGCATGGCCATGGCGCCGCGCGCTGTCGCTGCGTTGGTGACGCCTGGCCCGAATTCTAAGACCGCGCCGGCCGCGTCGCCGGCGAACGCGCCGACGATGGCGCCGGTGGCGCGGGAAAGGGAGCGAGAGCGGGCGGGTGAGAGCGAGAGAGAGGGGGGGAGGGGGAGGGGAGGGGGAGGGGGGAGGGGGAGGGGGAGGGAGAGGGAGACATGGTGGTGCGAAGTGCGAGGTTTCAACAGCGATGCGAGGGAGTGACTCGTGGGATGAGAGGTATCCGCGGCGGTAAAAGACGCGTTGTATTCTATTTCTGATACCGGTACTAATTGTGGCACGTAACGCTTTTGTAGACGACATCCCTACTACTCGACTCGCGTCGCGAGTAGTGATTCGTGAAAACTGGGCGTGACGTGTGGGGGTGGGCGATGACCTCCTTGAACACCAGGAACTTGAGCTCGGCGCGCTAGACCATTAGAGCACGGAAAAAGAAACGTTCAGAACACTGTGCGCTAGACCGTGGCTTGGAGTTGCTGATAGGATAACAAGTTTCGTGACACCACCTACATCGAGTCAACAGGTTCTTGTTAGTCAGAGAGGCGAACAGGTTCAACAAACACAGCTTCGTAGAAACAAGGAAGAGCGTGTGCGGGGGTCCGTTTGCGTGGTCCCCCAGTGGTGCTCCGCTATTGCAAATTCGCTCCACCCATGGGATGCCTCGTATGAACATCAGTTATGGACGATAAGCCAGGTAACCTACATGTAGTAGGCGCGGCTCGGCGCGCTTTATACAAGGTCGAAATTATACTAATATTTTTTACCTCATTGTGGCATTGTGACTGAAAAATAAATGTGACAAGCAGTTAGAGCCTTTAAATTCTGCCTATGGTCTCAAACTTCACAGAACTGTAGCTACATTTGTGGTTTTAAAGCAAATTTACACTCTTGCAGCAATGGCACCGCGCCCTAACGGGTTTTTGCCACTGGTCGTGATCGGAAAGTTCTAGACTGCGGGTTTTGGGCGAATGTTCTGAGCGAGATTATCTGGTAACCTTAATCTCCACCACAGTGCCCGCAAACAGCCCTACCATGAAGAATGCGTTGTCGGCAATGCTTTCGTCTTCGGTGCACATGTCAGGGACGTACAGATTCGCGAAATTGTCGCCAGGGGGCGAACTACGCCCAGCAGCACCACGCGCGAAACCTTTTCGCTCATGATGCGTTCGTATCAAGCAGCAAGCCCCACCACCACACGAACAGAGCCAGACACAGAGCGGAAGGTATCATCATCATCATCCACACCAGAAAAACAAGAAAGCAGGTGCATCAGTCTGGGATTGTTTTGTTGACATCTCTGCCGGTTATCAATTCCCCAGACATCCAGTCCCGACTCCCGACACGCGTTTTCCGTTCCCGCGACGATGAAGAGTGCGCGCGGTCGCGAGAGCTCTCGCCTGCTGTCGCTCCCGGACGAGCTTCTCCAGCCCATTCTCGCGCGCGTCGACCACCCGCGCGATCGCTGCAGCCTCGCTCTCTCCTGCTCGCACCTCCGCCGCCTCTCTCGCCGCACGCCCCACGCGCTTCGCCTCCATTTCTTCAGGAAAAAACAGGGCGTCACTGCCCGGGAATGGATAAAGAATTTCGACATTTATTCAGGGGTATTTACCCATGTAATCGACCTTGCGGTGGAGGTTAGCTGCAACACCATCGACCAACTGTTGAGGGGAATCGGCGCGGGCTGCCCGAGATTGGAAAGGTTGAAGCTCGTGTCGTTGCGCGGCGACCCGCGGTTTCAGATCAACGACGCGGCTTGGAGGAAGCTCGCGCGGCAATGCCCGTGAGTGTGGCTTGGTTGTCTTGCCGCGACGCGACAGCGACCCTACTATTACCTTGCTCTCCTTTATCGAGTTAACAAACTAGTTATCATGGGGCATTTATACCTTTTTCCCTCCTTCCGTAGGGCAAGTTGCTTACCATAGCCACTTGAAACATGCCCCACTCATTTTCATCCACCCCCCCCCTGCATCCACAATCTCGACCTCCAGAACACAACACGCAGGGTTTATTGTTTAGAATGCTGAAAAATACCCTCCAACACACAACACTGCACCAATCCACTCTTCTCAAAACATCCCACATCCTCTTCCCCCCCCTCTCCCCCCCCCCGGTCCCCGCTTCCCCCCCTTCGTTTCCTCTTGCCGCCACCTCTCTCGCACTCCCTCTCCCCCCCTGTCATCAGCCTCATAACGGCACTCGAGCTCGACTCGCCACTCCACCGGAGCTCCAACGAGTTCAACGAGACTCCGCCCCCCCCAGTAGACGCCTTCCCTGCACTGCGCTCACTCACGCTCCTCTACCAGCCCTCGCATTACCGCTTCATCGCCCGCTGCTCCTCCCTCACCTCCCTCACCCTCTGGAGCCCCAGCGCCTTCACCCTCTTCTCCCTCGCCTCCTCCTCCTCTCCCCTCCGCCTCTCCCTCTCCTCCCTCACCATCCACTCCGCGTTGCTCGAAGCCGCACTCACGCCCCTCGCGTCTTTCTCTCGCCTCACCTCTCTCGCCTTCCACTCCTGCAGCATCGACCCCTGCGAGCTGCACGCGCTCTCTCGCTCCGTCCACACGCTCACCCACCTCGCAGTCCACGACTGTCCCTTGGTCTCCAGTCACTCCCTCGCCGCCTTGGCTGACACCAACCCGGCTCTCTCCTCCCTCTCCCTCCACTCCACCTCCTACCCTCTCTTCGCCGTGCAAGGCCTCCGGAATGTGCTCCGCGCATCCTCCTCCCGCCTGCACACGCTCGCTCTCTCCGGGCTGCCCTCGTTCCGCCCCGGCATGCTTGCACGCTGCTGCAGCCTGAAGCGTCTCACGCTGAGACGGAGGGGCGAGGCGAGGGAGAGTGTATCACCGTCGGAGTCGCCGCAGAAGCCGTCGTTGGAGTGCGTTGTGGCCTTGCTGGTGCGCGTGGAAGAGAGGGCAGGCGGCGGAGGAATGGAGGGAGGGGACGGTGTGGTGGAGAGAGGGGAAGGGGAGATGGCTGTTGTGGGGCACGAGGGGGGCGGAGGCTCAGCTGCTTCTGCTGCAGCAGCAGCAGTAGCAGAAGCACCAGAAGAAGCAACAGCAGCAGGAGCTGCAGCAGAAATAACAGCAGAAGCAGCCACGTCAGTAGCAGCTTATAAGGGGATGAGAGGCAACAAGAACCGGCGGTATTACCTGGATATTCGTGCACAGGCAGCAGCAGCGCGAGCTGACACCATCGCAGCAATCGACGAGTCAAGGGCCCTGGTGCCGATCGCCCAGCAGAAGCTGAGGAAAGCACTTTCGAAAGCCGTGCAGACTCGGAGCTTTCACGGGGAGGGTGCCCTTGCGGATATCCGCTACGCGGTCATTCTGGTGCGAGCTGCCATGTCTCTGTGCCGGTGCTTGCGCATGGCCGTGGTCCACGTGGACGGCCGGGCTGCACGCGAGGTGGCGCTGGCAGAGGTCTGTGTTGCTGCTGAGTCCGCGGGGTTTTTCACTGCAGCAGTGGATTACGAGAAAGAGGAGAGCGAGCGGGAGAGGGAGGGGCAGGGGGGAGGAGGAGGAGTTGAGGTGGAAGAGCTGGTGAATTTCGTCCCTGAGAGTGAGCTGCCGGGTGATCAGGCGGAGGTGAGTGAGACGCTGCTGGGCGAGCAGACGGGCATGTGGCCGGAGTTTGTGGCGGTGTCGCTAGCAGAGGCGCGCGCGCTGCTGCATGTGCTGACTGACCAGTTGGTGGCTCACATGGAGGCGATTAGTGATGCGTTTGAGGCCGCTCCGGCACCACCAGCAGCAGTGCTTGGGGCGGTTGGGGCACCAGGGGCGCCTGTCGCAGGGGCGCCTGTTGCAGGGGCGCCGCCAGTGCCTGGGGCAGTGGCACCAGGGGCAGTGGCACCAGGGGCAGTGGCACCAGGGGCAGTGGCACCAGGGGCAGTGGCACCAGGGGCAGTGGCACCAGGGGCAGTGGCACCAGGGGCAGTGGCACCAGGGGCGGTGGCACCAGGGGCAGTGGCACCAGGGGCAGTGGCACCAGGGGCAGTGGCACCAGGGGCGGTGGCACCAGGGGCGGTGGCACCAGGGGCGGTGGCACCAGGGGCGGTGGCACCAGGGGCGGTGGCACCAGGGGCGGTGGCACCAGGGGCGGTGGCACCAGGGGCGGTGGCACCAGGGGCGGTGGCACCAGGGGCGGTGGCACCAGGGGCGGTGGCACCAGGGGCGGTGGCACCAGGGGCGGTGGCACCAGGGGCGGTGGCACCAGGGGCGGTGGCACCAGGGGCGGTGGCACCAGGGGCGGTGGCACCAGGGGCGGTGGCACCAGGGGCGGTGGCACCAGGGGCGGTGGCACCAGGGGCGGTGGCACCAGGGGCGGTGGCACCAGGGGCGGTGGCACCAGGGGCGGTGGCACCAGGGGCGGTGGCACCAGGGGCGGTGGCACCAGGGGCGGTGGCACCAGGGGCGGTGGCACCAGGGGCGGTGGCACCAGGGGCGGTGGCACCAGGGGCGGTGGCACCAGGGGCGGTGGCAGCAGGGGCGGTGGCACCAGGGGCGGTGGCAGCAGGGGCAGTGGCAGCAGGGGCAGTGGCAGCAGGGGCAGTGGCAGCAGGGGCAGTGGCAGCAGGGGCAGTGGCAGCAGGGGCAGTGGCACCAGGGGCGGTGGCACCAGGGGCGGTGGCACCAGGGGCGCCAGCCGCAGTGCCGCCACCAGTGCCACTGCTGGTAGCACGAGGAACAACTGCAGCAGATGGGGCGGCAGCAGATGGGGCAGCAGCAGATGGGGCAGCAGCGCAGCAGCTAACAAGTGCAGAAGGAGAAGCAGGAGGGCCAGTGGGAGAGGGTGTGAGCACTGAAGGAGCATCGCAGCAGCTGCCAGAGTCGGGAGGAGGTTCGGGAGAAGAAGACGAGCAGCTGGGCAGCAGAACCCCAGATGAGAGCATGCCCTCCAAAATGAGCTCACCTCCAAATCAGAGCACCCCCGCAATTCCTGTGGAGGTGTTTTGCCCTCCGCTGGAATCCCTAACCCTCGAGAGTATTCAGTTCGCCCCCACTCATGACCCTTCCTGGCTGCCTTCCCCCCTCCCCTCTGCATCACCTCTCATGTGCCCCTTTTCCCAAACTACACCCTACCCTTCTCCCCTCCCTTCATCGTCCTCCTCCCCCAATCCTGTCCCAAGCCTCCTGAGCAGCGAGCCTCAAACCTTTGAATCCCTGGCACTGGCTGCTGTGTGTGGAAGGCTCAAGAGCTTGGCTCTTGTGAACTGCTCTGGACTGGGGGAGGGGCAGCTGGTGAGGCTGCTCTGTGCATGTGGCATGCTGCAGGACCTGAGGGTGGAACGCAGTGAGGGGTTCTCAGACACGGTGATTGCACGGAGTAAACTGGAGGTGCTGACTCGGTTGACTGTGGTGGGGTGCGGTGGAGTGAGTGCAAGCGGTGTTGGCGGGCTGCTGGGGAACGTGCCAAGGCTGCGGTATTTGAAGGTGGAGGCGAGTAAGGTTTCTGACAGGGCTCGCCGGGAGTTGCTTCGTGCAGGAGTGGTTGTTAGGGGCGTGTGAGTTGTTTCTTGTTGGGACGGCTACCAGTACCGGTACTTGCTTTCTTCGTCTATTGAATGACCACTCACTATGGTGTTGATTCTGTTACAAATTTCAGCTGGGTATGTTTTTTGTGTTTAGGGCTGCTTGCTCGAGTGTTGAAGTGACACAAAAAGCGGAACCACCGCTGGTATGAGTAATTAATAACAGCCTTGTCTGACCTGTCATACCGGTATGAGCAGCAATCTTATATGAACAAGAAAAAATTGAGTCTGAAACCTAGACGAACACGCGAATTTCGTCTGCTAACGAGAGCCCTGAGCTCCACAGACACAATAGTATCGTAAAATGCTTCTAATAAGGGCAAAGCTTGATCCATGAAGGGGCCCTAGGAGGAGGGCCGGACACAGCTGGCTGTGTTGGGAACTATGGCCCGAGGGATGAGACTGGGTAGAGATGTTTAGGCTGTGCTAGCCCACACACACACTTATGCCCACACCAAAGCCAAGGCTCAAGGCCAAGCCTAGGCATCATGCGCACTCCTTCGAAGCCTACGCCTTTCCTTTCCCTTTCCCCTTCCCCTTGTGCCCCTTGTGCTGCTTCTTCCCCGCCCCACCCTTCCCCCCTCCTGCTCCCCCTCCCCCTCCCCCTCCGCCCTTCTTCCCACCTGCCCCCATCACGCTAGTCATTCCCCTGCGCGCCGCGGCAAGCTTTCCAGCCCTCCGATTGAGCATCTTTGCATCCAACGGCCAGTATGCGTGCGGCTCCAGCTTCCCTTCCTTCTTCACATCGCCACCCGCACGTCGCCCGCTGCCTGCGGCATATTCATCCCCTGTATAAGCCCACCCGCTACCGCTACCAGTCTGCTTCTTTCCGCCGCGTTTATCCTTGCCAGAAGGAATGGCCTGGCCTGAATTGGCCTTAGCCTTTTTCCTCCCACCACCACCAGCACCCGCACCGCCTCTCTCGTCTCCTCCTCCTCCTACTCCTCCTCCTGCTACTCCCCCACTGCGGACCCGCCGGCCAAACGCCAGCTCAGCAGCCCTCGCAGATGCCAGGCTGGCATCGCCCATCGCCACGTCATCATCCTCCATAACCCCATAGTCCAGATTCCCCTCTCCGTCATCCTCCCCGGCGCCCACACCCTTCTTGCCTCCTCCTTTCCTCCCCTTGCCACTTCCACCCTCCTCGCTCTCGTCCGGAACAACAATTTTCCCATCCTCTGTATACTCGAAGCCTGAATCCTCCCCATCCCCCTCCCCCTCTCCACCACCATCACGACGCCGCTTTGAACCACCAGCAGCACCACCGGCTGCACCAGAGGATTTGAGCAGCGGGGCAGAGAGGGCCCGGCGCGTGCCTGCGAGATCAAGCAGGTCCAATGGCGTGTCGCCACCTGTCTCCGTTATCCGCTCGTGCAGCTGCGGCCTGCCGTGCTGCTGCGCCTTCTTGCCCGCCCTGCCAGTGGAGGGGGTGAGGGGCGAGGGGCGAGGTGGATGAGATGATAGAGGAGTGAGGTAAGGCCGGGGTGATGGAAGAACGGAAAGAGGGTGGAGTAAAAATGAGAGGAAAGTGTGAGGGAGAGATGGCCTGACAGGCTATGATAAAGGAAGAACCCACGCCCACAACACCCCATCCCACAACCCATCCCACCCCATCTCACACCCCATCCCACACCCCATGTCCCACCCCATGCCACGTCAGCACACCTGGATGAGAGCGCATTCGACCACGCAGACTTCTTCGACCCGTCTTGGCGGGAAGCTGACTTGGCGGCGCGTGATTTGCCGCCGAACACACTGCGCTCGTCCTCGTCAGCATCGCTGTAATCCTCGTCATCGCTGAAATCGCCGTCCGCTGACGTGTCTGAAAACAGGTTGGAGTGGCTCCAGTCACTCGTTCTGAAACAGGGGAGGAGGAGTGGGGTGGTGGGGCAGGGGGGAAAGAGCGCAAACACAAACATCTGAGGAAGACCGAACCAGAGGAGCAATGCACTGCTGCACGCTGCACTCGGCAACTAAAAGCATGCCGGATAAGACGAGGTTCGAGTGGCTCCGGTTACTCGTTCTGAAAAGAAACGAAAGGAGCGCAGGAGGGGGGAGGGGGAAAGGTGAATTCAGGTGCAGCTGAGTCCAGCTGTGAGGTGCAGCACTGGAGTCATCACTATCTGCCAGAAAATGTTCCCTTATTTGTCGCGAGTGTGTTTGGAAAGAGGCTGGCGTGGCTCGCTTGCCGCTCACCTGTCTCCTCCCTCCTCCCCCCTCCCTCCTCCCCATCCCCTGCCTGTGAGACATTCCTCTCCCCCTCACCTCTTTCCCCCCACCCCACCCCTCGCCACCCCTCAACCCCTGCACCCATTCCACACCACTCACCGGGCCCTGCTCCTGCCAGACAGGGTCGACCGCCCATCACCGCCCTCCTCCCCGTCTCCTGCCTGCGAGCCCTTCGCCCCTGCTGCTCCGCGCTTCTTCTCCTTGGCCTTGGCTGCTCGCGCCACCTCCTGCAAACACAAGCAGACCAGTGCCACGCAAGGGGGCATGGGACGAGGCACACGAGGAGCAAATGAGTGATTGGCCCGCCAATCTTTCCCCCTTGCTCCTGTTCCTCCCCGCTACTTCTCCTTGGCCTTGGCTGCTCGCGCCACCTCCTGCACCACAAAAGAGGGCGATGCAACACACAACGGGAACCGGAGGGGGAGCAAGAGGAGCAACCGAGAGAGTGCGTGAGCAGCCAAGAAACCCGCCCCTCTTCCCCCACCCACCCTCGCCCCTGCTCCTCCGTGCTTCTTCTCCTTGGCCTTGGCTGCTCAACCCACCTCCTGCAACACAAAAGAACTAGTGCAACGGCCAAGGAAAAGAGGAGCGGGAGGAGGCAGGAAGAAGAAGAATGGCCTTGGATTTCAAGGGGACACCGGAGAAGTGGAATGAGGTGAGGACGGATGAGCGGCAAATCAAAGAGTGTAACCGCAATTTGCTCCTCCCGGCCCCCCTCGCCCCTGCTCCTCCTGGTCTGAGTACCTATACTAGCCGTGAGTCCCACCCACCTTGCGGATGTAGGCGCTGATGCTCCTCCGGCATCCCTGCTGCCACCGTGGGATAGCAGGGCAGGGCGACAGCACAGCAGCACATACACATACCCATACTAGCCTTAAACTCCACCCTTGTGCCCTGGTGGATGCGTGCAACCCACCTTGCGGATGTGAGTGAGCAGGCGCTGGTGCTCCTCCGGCACCACTGCTGCCACCGTGGCATGGCCGCACCGCCTCACCAGCCGCTGCACTATCTTGCGCACCTGAGGGGACACAAGTGGGGAGGGGGTGGTGGAGGGATAGAGAATGGGTACGGCTGACAGTAAGCAGTAAGCAGGCAGCAGGCAGCAGGCAGCAGGCAACGAGCAGCAGGCAGCGAGCAGCAGGCAGCGAGCACAAGTCAGCACAGCAGGCGTTGAGCATCCCATAACATACCTTAGCCTTGAACCTGGTTGCGACAATCTCATTGGTGGAGAGCAGCGCAGTCATGATGGCTGGCAGATGCGCCTCCAGGTCAGCAGCTTCCAGGCGCACAGATAGCACCTTCACCAGGCCCAGACACGCCTTGAGCACGTCGCGGTGCGGCGAGCGGAAGAGGAGGAGCAGCGACGGGAGCAGCGAGGGCACGAGGTGGAGGAGCGAGGAGGAGAAGTGGAAGATGAGGCGCGCCAGGGCCATGACGGCTGCACTCTGCCCATGCGGGGTGGCGCTGGCCAACCCTGCCATGACCTGGAAGCACGAGCAGGGAGGAAAAGAGACAGCGAAGCACAGTAAGCGAGGGCCATGATGGCTGCGCTCTGGCCGTGCGGAGTGGCGCTGGCTAACCCCACTTTTTTGTGGATGCACCACAGTAGACGGCAGACAGAGAAGGGGAGAAAAGCGGAGGATGGGAAAAGAGAGAAAAGCGGAGGAGGGGGAAGGAGAAGGTGAGAAAGGGGGAGGTGAGAAAAGGGGGAGGTGAGAAAAGGGGGAGGTGAGAAAAGGGGGAGGTGAGAAAAGGGGGAGGTGAGAAAAGGGGGAGGTGAGAAAAGGGGGAGGTGAGAAAAGGGGAAGTAGGCGTCTGAAAGATCTGGCCAGCATCCATTCACATGACAGGCCTAAAGTCAGGTACAATACCAGGCTTCATTGCTACCTTTCCATACATTAGAACGTGCATCCAATTTTTTCTTTCTATCTTTCTTTCTTTCTTCCTGCCTAGGCATGTCGTAAATATCTTTCCTCAGAGAGACAGGCATTAAAACAAAAAGCACATGTTGGAAAGCAGGGAACGAACCGCGGTGAAGAACTTCATGAAGGGAGAATCGGCATCATCATCAGCAGAAGCAGCGCCGTCCATGGACTGATCGCCACTGAAGCCGCCGTACATCACCCCACCGCCCGCCAAGAAGCGCCTCTCATGCTGCTCGTCTGCCAGTCGCTGCATCTCCTGGGCCAGTGCTATGATGAGCTGGTATGCTGCGTCCCGTGCCTTGCGGTTCACCTGGAAGAGGGGGGGGGGGGAGGTTGGAAAGAGGAGAAGACGTGGAGAGAGTGTGCGAACGAGAATCTGAGTGTGCGTTGCTGTTGGTGCTCCTCATGCTGCTCGTCAGCCAGTCACTGCATCTCCTTAGCGAGGGCTATCACATCAGCAGCTAATATGCTGCATCCCGTGCCTTGCGATTGGGCGTGCGGATGAATAGAGTGTGGGTGTGTTGTACTGCTCACTGCCACTGTGTCATATGGAGAATCGGAGCAAGCCAGATGCAGCAGCAGCATGAATGAAAGGCTCTGTTGATGCAGTAGCGCCCTCTTCCCTCTCATCCCTCGTCCTCTCACCTCTTTCACGGACAGCACAATCTCAGTGAGCGTGGCAGCCACTGCGTCGTAAAACGCCGAGACATCGGACTTGGCCAGATGCAGCAGCACGGCTCTTCATGTGGTAGTGGCACTTGATGCGGTTGTGCGTTCATGCCATCTCCTCACCAGTTCCCACTTCAACCCTCCTCTCTCCCCCTCTATTCCCTCTCACCTCTTTCACGGACAGCACAATCTCAGTGAGCGTGGCAGCAACTGCGTCATAAAACGCCGAGACATCTGTCCTGGCCAGATGCAGCAGCACGGCTGACAGGCTCTTGATGCGGTAGTGGCGGCACGGCGAGTGCACCCCACCCACTCCCTTCACCAGCTCCTCCAACACTGCCCTTGCTGACACGCCCTCTCCTGTTGCCCCTCCTGCTGCTGCTCCTGCTGCTGCTCCTCCTACTGCGCCCTCTGCTTGCTGGCTCAGCAGCTCTGGGTGGGTCTGCAGGTGTGGATGGAGTGGAAGACGGGACAGGAGGGAGCAAAAAGAAGGGGAGATGGGGTTGTGGGGGGGTGGAGATGAGTGGGTGGGACTGGGACACAGCTTGTGATGCGGTGGTGGTGGTGGCGGCGTCACGACAGCGAGTGCACTGTGCACCCCATCCCACCCACGCCCACCACCAGCTCCTCCAACACAGCCCTTGCCAACCCCCTCCCCCCCCCTCCCCCCCGCCCCCTCTCTCCACCCCCTCTCCTCCTCCTGCTGCTGCTGCTGCTCCTGCCACAGCCTCAGATTGCTGCTTCAGGAGCTATGGGTGTGTCTGCAGGTGTGGGAGATGTCACAGGCCCCTGGTGCTGTGTACAGGGCCTGTGATGGGGACTTTATGATGCAAAGGAGCCACAGATATGCAAGCAGGCAGTGATGCAATGCAAGCAAGCAGCTTATAGGCTTTCTCGAATCCAAGAGCAGAGCATACCTCAAGCAGCGATGCGAGCAGCTTGTACGCCTTCTTCTGCACGGCAGCTGACTTGTCGTGGATGGCGGGCCTCGTTGCGTTGTAGAGCGCACGGCAGCACTCCACGTCCAAGCCAGGCAGCAGCGAGAGCGAGAGATCCATGAGCATGGCCCTGTGCGGGGTGGGGAGAGGGAGAGGGAGAGGGAGAGGGAGAGGGAGAGGGAGAGGGAGAGGGAGAGGGAGAGGGAGAGGGAGAGGGAGAGGGAGAGGGAGAGGGAGAGGGAGAGGGAGAGGGGGGAAGGGAAGAGGTCAGTTGTAAAGAGCGCGGCAGCAGTCCACGTCCAACCTGGGCAGCAGAGAGAGAGAGCGAGAGATCCATGAGCATGGCCCTGCGGAGAGGGAAGAAGATGGGGGGAGGGAGGGTCACAGACGGGATGTGAATGACACTGTCGTGGAGTGGATGGGGGGCCTTGTTGCATTGAAGAGCGAACAGCGCGGCAGCAGTGGTGGTCCAAGCGGGGCAGCAGGGAGGGAGCGCGAGAGAGATCCATGAGCTGCAGCTCACCCCTCTTGGCTGATGGTGCTGCCGCCATGAACGCGTCAAGTCAAACAGCATCGAGAGTGATTCATTACATTCCCCACACACACTCACCTCTTCTCTCCAGCTTCCTTGCTCGCATCCCCTCCTCCTGCTGCTGTTGCCACACCAGTGCCAGCACCAGCAGCACCACCAGAGGCAGCAGCAGCAGCGTTGGTAGCAGAGAGCAGCTTGCTCATGATATTCGTGAAGAACAGCCGTAGCACCGCCGGGTCAGCCACAGCAGCGAGGGCACCGATGGCGCTCTGCAGCTCGCCCCTCTTGGCTGATGGGGCCGCCACGAACGCGTCAAACAGCATTGGGAGGAAGGGCCGCGCTGACGCTGACATGGCCGCCAGGTTGGCGGCCGCCACGTCAGCGGTGAGGCGGCGCCACGCGCGGCGCTCGGCGTCGGTGGTGTCGTCGTCGTCCTCTAGTGCTGCTCGGAACGCTGCTTCCGCTTCTGCTCCTGCTTCTGCTGGTGCGGTGAGTGAACCGCCACCAGCATCAGCATCAGCAGCAGCAGAAGCGTGGGTGATGGCGGCAGCAAGGGCAGAAGTGGGCGCGCCTGAGAGGCCATCAAAGGCGGTGAGGCGCTTGGAGAGGGGCGCGCGACCCATGGCTATGCGGTTCTGATCCACCATAAGCTGAGAGGGGGCAGGGGGGTGGGAGATGGAGCGGAAAGTGATGGGGGTGGCGAATGAGGGGTGTGGTGGGTGTTCCCTTGGCTTCAAGAGGGGCGCGCGACCCATGGCCATGCGGTTCTGATCCACCATGAGCTGGCGGAGTGGAGCAAGGGCACGGGGAGAAAGGCATGGGAGAGGGAAAGCGGAGGGGAAGTGAAGTGGGGGTGGTGGGTGGGTGTTCTTTGCGCTTGGAGAGGGGCGGACGACCCATGGCCATGCGATTCTGGTCTCCCATGAGCGCGCGGGGGGGGGGGGGGGGGGGGGGGGGGGAGGGGGGAATGGGGCTTGCATCGCCTAACACACACAGGCTAGCTAGACAGGCTTGGGTTTGAAAAAGAGGCTCGTTGAGAAGGGAGGCTTGCTTGCATTACCTGCAGGGTGACATTACCTGCAGGGTGACATTACCTGCAGGGTGACATTACCTGCAGGGTGACATTACCTGCAGGGTGACATTACCTGCAGGGTGACATTACCTGCAGGGTGACATTACCTGCAGGGTGACATTACCTGCAGGGTGACATTACCTGCAGGGTGACACACACTGCATTACCTGCAGGGTGACACACACTGCATTACCTGCGGGTGACACACACTGCATTACCTGCAGGGTGACACACACTGCATTACCTGCAGGGTGACACACACTGCATTACCTGCAGGGTGACACACACTGCATTACCTGCAGGGTGACACACACTGCATTACCTGCAGGGTGACACACACTGCATTACCTGCAGGGTGACACACACTGCATTACCTGCAGGGTGACACACACTGCATTACCTGCAGGGTGACACACACTGCAGACCGAACTCCGTCGCCCTCGTCCCCCTTCCCTCCTGCTGCCACTGCTTCTGCCAGGTGCTTTGCCAAGTGCGGAAACACCTGCACGCACAGGAAGCATTGCAGTTGGGGATTAATTGATCACCAAAAAGGAAATAAAAACATGAGACACGTGAAGTGAATGTGAGAGCAAGGAAATTAATCACGGATCTGATGGCAATGCCTCTGAAAAAAAAAGTCTCATCCTTCTATCCAATCCCTCAACTCAACTCAACCCAATCACCCACCCCGCACCCTTTAACCCATTCCCCCCCCACCTACGCGGTGTCCCCCACCTACACGGTGTCCCCCACCTACGCGGTGTCCCCCACCTACGCGGTGTCCCCCACCTACGCGGTGTCCCCCACCTACGCGGTGTCCCCCACCTACGCGGTGTCGGGTGCCAGGCTGGCAAGAGTTGTCCTGACCTCCAATTCCTCGTCTCCCCCACTAGTCACCCATGCTTACTCCTCCCAACATCCCTCTCTCCCCGAATCCCCCTACCCGGTCTTTGACCCACAGCCCACATTCCCTTACCCCATCAAACCCCACTCAACCATCCACCCTTCCTACTCCCCTCCAAAAACCCCCCTGCACCTGCGCAGTGTCGGGTGACAGGCTGGCGACAGCTGGCAGCAGCGACCACACCGCGGCCCGCAGCGCCGCCAGCTGCTTGGCCGCGATTGGCCGGTCGACCTGGGGGGAGCGGGCCTGCTGGGCAGCGAGGAGGAGGCGGTGGGAGAGGGGGAGGAGCGTGGTGAGGAAGAAGGAGAGCGACTCGCCCGCTGTGTGGCGGCGCAGGATTGGCAGCAGCCACACACGTGGCGCCGCGGGATTGGCCGCCGCGGCCGCCGCCGCCGCTGCTGCTCCTCCTCCCACTCCTCCCACTCCTCCAGCTCCTGCTGCTGCAGCAGGTGCGGGAGCAGGTTCGGGGTCGAGGCCGAGGGGCAGGATGGAGAGGAAGCGGCTGGGGCCCATAGCGGCAACAGCAGCACCGAGGGCAGCGTGCAGGTGCTTGCGGTGAGCCATCTCTGCGTCTGGTAGGTCGTGCAGGTCGGCAAGAGTGGCGAGGGTTGGCGCGAGGAACAGGTGCGAGGACGGACCTGCATTTGTGGGGGTGGGGTAGAGAGAGGGGGCAGTGGGGGGCGCGGGGGCAGTAGGGGCGGAGAGGAAGGAGAGGTGGTTGAGCGGAGCGGACAGCAGTGCCACGGGAGGGAGCGTTGGGGCCCATAGCGGCAACAGCAGCGCCCAGGGCAGCGTGCAGGTGCTTGCGGCGAGGCATGTGCATGTCTGTGTCTGTGTCTGGCAGGTCGTGGAGTGGAGGCCCATGAGGGTTATGACTCTGAGCCGTGGGGCTAGGACAAGATGAACAGCGTGTTTGAGTGAGAAAGGGTGAAAAGAGAGGTGGGAGAGGAGGAGAGGAAATGGGCAGAGGAGAGTGGGGGAGCAGAGAGAAGGGCCAGAGGACTAGACGGGACAGAGGATGCTGGGGCAGAGGATAGAGGGGAAAGGGGAGCGAGGAAGCAGAGGGGAGAGGCGGGAGAGGGTGGAAAACGTTGTGGTTGGGGCAGAAAGGTGGGAGAATTGGGTGAGAGAGGTGGGTGGGAGGGAGGGGTGGGAGGTCCCTGGTTGAATCGACTTATACCTCCCCTCACAGCTCATGACTCACCAATGCGATCAAAGAGGGCAGCAACGAGCAGCAGAGACAGACAGACAGGCCCCACGACGCACGGAACCGGTTGATACCCTAGCACTTGCCCGCCCGCCCGCTCGCTCCATCACCACTGCTCTGGGTGGCCCCACCAGTCCCTTGTTGCAAGCGAAACAACTCACCAATGCGGCCAAAGAGAGTAGCAACGGGCAGCAGCACGGAGAGGTCCCACGACGCACGAACTGGTACCTCAAGGTCCGCTCCGCTGCCACACACACTCTCGCTCCACTGCCACACACACTCTCGCTCCACTGGCGCCCTACCTCCCCTCCTTCACCCCATCTGCCCTCAACCACGCCGCTCAACCACCTGCCTCCTTTCTCATGCCCTTCCCTCACGACTCACCAATGCGGTCGAACAGGGCAGCAACGAGCAGCAGAGACAGGTCCCAGGACGCGCGGAACTGGTACCCTAGCGCCCGCTCCACCACTGCTCTGGCCTGGCCCCACCTGTCCCTTGTTGCAAAACAAAACAACTCACCGATGCGGTCAAAGAGAGTGGCAACGAGCAGCAGAGAGAGGTCCCACGACGCACGGAACTGGTACCCTAGCGCCCGCTCCACTGCCACACACACCCGCTCCACTGGCGCCTTCCCCCTCCCGCCCCCTCCCCCTGCCCCCCCTGCTCCCCCTGCTTCCGCCCCTGCGGCCTCCTGCGCGTGGCGCTGCAGCACAATAGCAGCAGAGGCGGCGACAGCAGAGTCGTCAAGGCACGTGGAGATTAAAGCCTTGAGGCAATCCGCCGTGGCGAATGCCACCTCCTCGTGCCCGCTCGCTAGGTTGTCTGTGTTGGGGGGGGGGGGGGGGTCAAGGTGTGGAAGGAAAGAGCGAGGGGAACGGGGCGGCCAGAGGGGGACGAGATGAGCGCCTTGAGGCAGTCCGCCGTGGCGAATGCTACTTCCTCGTGCCCGCTTGCAAGATTATCTGCAAAGGAGAGGGGACGGGTGGATGCATGGAGAAGCGACAGCAGCAGAGTCATCGAGGCAGGTGGAAATGAGAGCCTTGAGGGAGTCCGCTGTGGCGAATGCCACCTCCTCGTGCCCGCTCGCTAGGTTGTCTGGTGGGGTTGGTGTTGAGGGGTGGTGGTGGGCGAAGGGAGGTGGGTAGAGGGACATGCCGGAGGAGATTAAAGCCTTAAGGCGATTCCATGAATGGAGCAGGTGAATGTGCATGTGCATTTATGGAAGGATTAGGTGATCACCTTTTTTTTTTTCCTTTTGCTGTTGCACAATTATACTGATGACCAATGAGAGTGAAGAACGTGGACGGCAGCAGGCTGACGCACGCGTCAGCGTCCATCGCATGCAGACGAATCAACGCCGCCCGCACGCACTCCAACAAAGCACGCACTGCCGCTACATCCGTCTTCCCCCTTCCCCCTGCGCCTCCCCACCCCCTGCCCCCCACCCCCCGCCCGCCCCTCCCCCCATCGCCTGTCTCTCCCCCTCCTGCTTCAGCAATCGCGCTACCACCTCCGAGATTAGGGATTTAGAGATGGGTGACGTGGCAGCTGACGTGGATGCTGACGTGGCCGGGGCGGGAGCTGACATCAGCGCGTTGAGGGCGTCCAGCACACGGCAGGCGAGAAGGGGGTGGCGGATCTCGAGGAGGTCCACCAATCGGAGCGTGACACGTGGCAGGGAGGGAGGGGCGAGGAGCGGGAGCAGCGGGCGGAGGCAGGAGATGAAACGGAGCACTGCGGCCGCTGCCGCTGCTGCTGCCTCCTGTAACGTCTGCTGCTGCTGACGTGGCTGCTGACGTGGCTGTTCGAGCTGCTTGGAAGGGGCGAGCGCTCGGACGATGAGGGAGTCGGCGAAATCGACGAGTGCTGTGGAGGCGGCGGAGAGGGCGGCGGGAGAGGCGCGGAAGGTGCTGAGAAGCTTCAGCAGCGCGGATTGCGCCACACTGCGCACCTGCAGGCGGATACGAGGGGGAAGAATCGCGTGGACGAAGGGGAAAGGGGGAGGGGGGGGGGGGGGAGGGGAGTGGGGGGGGAAGGGGAGTGAGGGGTAAGGGGAGGGGCTGGACAGGGGCCGGGGAGGCGGAGGGCCAGGGCGGATACGCATGGTGGAGAGGCAGCGGCAATGACAGGAGCAGGGGCAGGGGAGGGAAAGGGAGGAGAAAGCAGGGCAGGGCAGGGCAGGAGATGGGAGTGGAGGTTAGCGGATGCAGCGCCAAGGGAGGAGGATGGAGGGGAGAGGAGGGAAGAGTTTGGGGAGGAGCAGAGGAAAAGCCCATATGAAGCCCGAACCCTTAACCTTGCCCGCGTTGTGGAATCCGATAGTTGGATCCGGAACCCTCAAGAATGCGACGAATTCAGCTAGCCGTGTGTGAGCCGCAGGATGCCGTTAAGAGGACAGGGTTGAAGGGGGGGCGGAGTGTGGGAGGGTAGGAAAAAAACCAAAAACGATCACGGCAACGCACCTTAGGCTGACTCGCTACAGAGTGATCCAACACCGCCTTAAAACCCGCCGACACGTCAGGTGTCCACGCGTTCTTGGGGTCGCCGCAACCCGCTACCCTCGCTGCAATCACATACCCCAGACAATCCACCGCCGCCGCGACCACCCTCCGCCGATCCTCCGCCCACGCCAGCCCTGTACTGCCGCCCGAGCTGTTTGTCGTTTTGCTAGTTTCGTTCTCCTCCTCCATCGATTCTTCTCCTACCACCTTATCCGCACTACTAGTAGGTCCGGTTGTGTTTGTAGCCCCCCAAAGATCGACGGCGGAAGTTAGTAGTGGCAGGAGCCGGGCTGCGTTCAGCCGCACGATCGACTCTGGCGTGAGAGGGATCGCGAGATCCAGCAGCGCCAAAACAGCATCCAGACCGTTCACAGGTTTATCATGGGGTTTCGGGTTTACGCTATGAGATCCTCCCGTGCCGGCCGCTTCTCGATTTTCAACAGCGGACTTCAACAAATCTGCAGTCTCGAGCGCCGAAATAAGCGCCGCGAAATACGCCGTCGGTGACGGCGACAGCCCCTGGGATCTGATGACGTCAGCGGTGGCGGAAGCGACGGCGAGAACGGTCTGCCTCTCTCGCGCGCTGTGCCACTTCGTGTTCTCCGCCGCGGCCGCTACCGCATCGCCGCCGGGCGGACCCATCGCTGCGTCAGGGGAGAGAGACGGCGCTAGCAAATGGCGGTGGCGGTGAGACGCGAAATTTTTGCCGTCGAAGTTCCTTGCGTGGCAGTTGAACACCAAGCAAGGAAGGGTGGTTCTCTGATGGGAGGTACTCGCTACAGAATCGTGCAGAGCGGTTCTGTTTTCGTCTGTACCGAATGCAAAAACTAGTATCCTTTGTTTGTAAGTTTGTAGTCACCAAAACACAGAAGTTCTGAACCAGCTTGAACCAGGTTTTCAAACATAATGAATCTCAGGATAAATACAAGAACATTCCAACAGAACAGTCCAATATAATACAAGAACTAGGCCATGAGAAACATATACTTTCTGTAAAAGTCATCTTCTTTGTCTTTTTCTTCTTCTTTTGCTTCATCATCTTCTTTGTCTTCTTAAGTTACGAATACATATATGTTCTTAGCGAACAAATGGCGCACCATGAATCAATGCTCACCCACCTTGTAGTGGCCCTTATAACCAGGTGTAGTTATCTGAAATTTCGAGAAGCATGCACCATGGAGTCATCCGAGTCCAGCGCAATCTGGAAAGGTGCCATGTCACACTCGTGCAGGAACCTACCGCACCGCACTGGATTCCCCCCCCCCCCTTCCCCCGTCAATTCACTCGGCCTCTGATCCATTCACTGGCAAGCACTCGCAATTCTGCCGTTCTCTTCACACTTATCATCATAGCCCGTCTAGTCCATCCGTTACCTGCTCCACAAGACTGCTTTCGGCCATCGCTCATCGCTCATCGCCCGTCGTGCACCATCGCTATTCCCTCATGTCCTGCTCCATGATGGCGTTTCTTTCCACCAGCCTCGTCTCCTCGTCCGTCAATCCCCTGTCAGCGTCACTCAAATGCGCCGATTCCTCTTCCCATTGGTCAACCCTAGCCGACGTCGGACTGAGACCTTCCCTCCCAGCGATCCGCCGTGACGGAAGGATTTGCGGAGCGGCAAAGGGCGGAAACGGAGCGGTGTGCGCGGTCGCTTCTGGAGGAAACGGAGCGGCGCGGACGGCGGATGAGGTGGAAACGGGGGTGGGAGCGGGCAGCGTTGACGTGAGCAGCACGTGCGTGAATCCCGTGTTCCGCTCCTTCCCCAACCTCAAGGTGCGTACCGTCTTCCGCGGACGAGATCATTGCGTCGTTGCGCGTTTCGTTTCCATCGCCGCCTCGTGCCGCGCCCGATTCGGCTGCACGCTGTCCTTCATGTTGGCTTCTGAAGCGACTGAAGCCTCAGAATCTGAGGCCTTCCAAATGTCGCCATTTGTTCTGCGTGGCGATCCGATTTGAATTCCATCCCCCTTCCATCCCGTTCCCGTGTCCGTCCCCACTCCATTCCATCCCCATTCCATGACAAGCTCTCTGGGCTGAGCTGTTCAGCACTAATATGAAATCCTTGCTGTCATCGTTTCTTGCTGATACGCACAACTGCAAGCAGCGAACCTCACGATTTGGAGCTGAAAAGGACGTGTTCTTGTGATGGGTCAACGCACCCACAACCCCCCATGCACCCCACCCCCCCCTCCCACGTGCGCTCTGTCTCCCCACATCCCTGGCCCCTCCCTCCCCCCATCGTCCCCCCTCCCCCTTGCGCAGGAGGGCGACGGCAACGAGGACGGGCCGGGCGGGCGCACGGCAGTGCGCGTGCTGTTCCTGAGCGAGGGCAACGTGTGCCGCAGCGTCGTGGCGGAGGCGGTTCTCACGGCCATGGTCAGGGAGAAGGGGCTGGAAGATTACATCGTCTGCTCCTCCAAGGTGCCTGGGAGTGGGTGAGGAGGGGGGGAGAGAGGGGGGGAGGTCTGACGGGTTTTGAGTCGCCTCAGAAGTCGCAGCGTGGTGGCGGAGGCGGTGGTGCTGATGGCCATGGTGAGGGACAAGGGGCTACAAGACTACATCGTCTGCTCCTCCAAGGTGCGCGCCGAGAGGGGGAAGGAGTGTGGGGGGGGAGGAGGAAGGGTGGGGGGGGGGGGAGGGGAACGGGCGGAAAAGGGAGGGGGGGTTGACGGGAATTGAGACGTCTTAAAAGTGGCAGCGTGGTTGGGAGCCGTGGTGGTGATGGCCATGGTGAGGGGCAAGGGGCGGGTGAAGACCACATCGTCTGCTCCTCCAAGGTGCGCTCGGGGGGGGGGGGGGGGGGGGACGGTGACGGGCGATACTGCTGGGGGAGTTGCGGGTGGGAGGGGGGACGGGGGAGGGGGGAGGGGAGAAAAGCAGGGAAGGAGGGAGGGAGAGTGCGCATGGCAGCTGCCATGGTGAATATTGAACCGTCAGAAGAGCCTCACAATTGTCCCTCTCCCCACCCTTTTCCAATCCCTCCCCTCCTTTCCCCCTCTCCCCCTTCCTTTTCCTTTTCCCTACTCCCTCTCTCGCCTCAATTCTCTCTCCCGCATGCCATGCCCCACGGTTGTGGTTGGTTGGCATTGGCTTTGGCATGGGCAGGCAGTGCGCGACTACAACGTGGGCGAGAGCCCGGACTCGCGCGTGGTGCAGCTGGCGGGGCAGAGCGGCGTGGCGGTGGACGCTGCCCGCCAGGCCCAGCTGCTGCGCCCTGCAGAGGACGTCGTCGCGCACGACCTGCTCGTCGTCATGGACAAGGTGCGGTGCGGTGCGGTGCGGTGCGGTGCGGGTGGGTGGAATGTGGTGGGGGTTGTTGCAGTGCAGTTGAGCTTGGTTTGAGTGGGTTTGGGGGTTTGAAAATGAGGTGCGTGGGGTGAGATGTTGTGTGCTGTGGAATGGGAAGGAGAGGTGGAAAATGAGGTGCGTGGGTTGAGATGTTGTGTGCTGTGGAATGGGAAGGAGAGGTGATGGTGAAAGTGGGACAAGTGGAAGCTGAAGCATCTCGTGGGGAGTCCATGTTCATTCAAGGGGGAATGCGTGGTGTGCTAGGCTGCGCATGCAGAGCGGAGTGGGGTGAAAGCCAGAGTGTGAACGGTCGAGGCTGTCACTGGTGTGGCATGTACGTGTGTGGCGATGATAATGGCTGTATTTCCACCAGCGTCACCTCATACATCCCCTATGCACCCGCCACCATCCCTCGTGCCCCAACGTGCCCCACCCCCCTCCCCGCCCCTCAGCAGTTCAACGCAGCGAATGTGCTGAAGGAGGTGTCTGCGTTTGACACCATCGGCCCCTCAAGGTGACTGACGTATGAAGGGACTCAAAAATCGACCTTCTGTATTTGACTCTTCGCTCTCCTCGTTTCCCCCCCTCCCCACCCCGCCTGCGGCAGTTCAATGCAGCGGATGTGTTGAAGGATTTGTCGGTGTTTGACACCATCAATTCCTCTGCGCGCTTCTCTTGAGACGCGTCAAGAGGTATTTCCCTCCCTTCCTTTGTCCCTGCCCGCCCCTGGCAGTTCAACGCAGCGGATGTGCTGAAGGAGGTGTCGGTGTTTGACACCATTGACCCCACGGCACGCTTCTCCTCCAAAGTGCGCCGCATGGGCGACTTCTGCAAGTCCAGAACGGTCCGTGCCTCCTGCTCTCCTCTCCTCTCGTCTCCGTGCTCTTTCTTGCAACAGAGTGGTTCATGCATGTGTGCTTATGGTGTTCTTGTTCCTTGCACTACCTCTCGCTTTTCTGCTCATTGCCAAGCTCCGTCTCTGTCTCTCTCTCACAACTGCACAGCACTTGCACAGATGCACACACACACGTACACACTCTCACACACAAGCCCTCCACAACCGCGCTCCCAACTCCCCACTCCCCACACACGCACAGTGTCTTTCTTCCTTGCTCACGGTGCGCATGCACCATGGCTCATCCCGCTCTCTCCGCACCACCCACTGCTGCTACGTGTGCAGGTGGACGACATAGACGACCCGCTGTACGGCAACATGGGCGGGCCCGAGGAGCTGGTACGCCCTCCCATACTGCACTCGCACACCCCACTCCCCACACCCCACACCCCACACCCCACACCCCACACCCCACACCCCACTCCCCACACACCCTACTCCCTACACCCCACACCTCACGCTCCTTCCCGCTACTTGCTCACTGTCATTGCCTGCATCCCCTCCCTGGCTCAACCACGTGCTCGCACGCTATGCCTCCATGCATACACCATAAGCCTCTCCAGCTCACCCGTGCCTCTACTCTGTCGTGCGTCTTGCTCGCTGTCATTGCCTTCTCTTCTCAACTACCCAGCCTCCAGCCTCCTGTGTGCTTTGTCACCTTAACAACTGCCCCTCCCTGTCACTCATATACCTTTGTTTATTCGGCACCTCAGAGACAGGCTGCTCACTTCCTGTCTGTCCATCCCTATACCCACACCTCCCTACGTCACTCCCATTCCCACTTCATCTCGCCTTTCCCACCCCAATCTCCTCCCTCCTCTCTCATCATTCCTCTGCTGCAATTCCCTCCCCCCCCCCCTCAAACACCCGTGTGTGTGCATGGCGCACGCACAGGAGCTGGTGGGGTCGACCATCAACGACATAGTGACTGCTGTGGCGGGCTGCTCTTCCAGTCTTCTAAAAAATTGCAACCCCACTCCTCTCCCCTGCCCTCCTCGCGGTGCATGGCGCACAGGAGCTGTTGGGGGCGGCCATCAACGACATAGTGGACTGCTGTGACGGGCTGCTCACAGACCTCATTGCCATTCGCGCTGCCCTCGCAGGTGGGCTGGGCTGCTGTGGGCCATGGGTGGGGTATGGGGTGGGGTATGGGGTGGGGCATGGGGTGGGGCATGGGGTGGGGCATGGGGTGGGGCATCAGAGGGGTTGGGTTATGGCATGGGGTTGCGCTCCCACATCTTTGCCGTCTACTTTCAGTAGCAACTGATCCTTGGATGGTGTTGCTTGCGTGCATTTTTCTTGTCTGCTCGCATGGAGTGCGCTAGTTTTTACTCTCTTGTGCTGTGTTGTCCTGCAGAGGGGGAGAGCTTCCGGTCGGGAGTGAACAAGTGGCTACAAGGAATGGACGACATGGACTGGCTTGTGCCTCCCATGCTGCAAAAGAAGAACCGCGACTGATTCGCAACTTGACGCTTTGAAAGTTTGTACACGACTTTGTAGCCTGCCTCTAGTCATAATTATGCTCGTTCTGTTTGCCATAGAAAGCACAAAGTTAGACCAAGAAGACTTACAACCGAAATATAAAATAGTGAAGGCCGTCCCAGCTTGAAATCGCTGCGATGAGTTGGGTTGACACAACACTGTTCCAAACAAACCGTGTAGGCAGGTTGAACTCATCTGATTGGCTCAAACAAATCTGAAAATTACTCCTCCCGCCAAAACGATTTTCCAGGCCCCATGTCAATCGTCGCATTTTTATACGCTGCACCCATACGACCGTTGCCCAGCGATGGTTTCCATCGCCAGGACCAACTTCCAAATCAAGTTGGGACTGGGTGAATGACTAGCTGATTTCGAGTCCCGAAGTCACTAGTGCTTTGCGTAGCATTAGTAGTAAAGCCGAGAAAGCGTAGATGTTTCTGGCCTAGGCACGTAAGATCCGACTTCGCTCGCGTGCGTAATGTAGTGAACATGGCTCTGTATAGTCAATATTTTTCTCGTCGCTCGCAAGTGAAACCCGACCCTTCACCTCGTAGCCCTCGCGTTCTCGGTAAATCAGGCTCCCGTCGCTCTACATCTCTTCTTCTCACAGTAACTGTGCTTCCGTCTCCTCCTGAGTCGGCTCTCACTGCGTCGCTCCCTACTCCTGTCACTGACTACTACCGCATGTACCGTCCTGTTCTCTCTCGTGTTCTCGCCTCGCTTGTTACTCACCCTCGTGCCTCTGTGTCCTCTGTGTCCGCTCTTACTGCCGCAGTCACTGAGTTTGCCTCTACCCGCCGCCTTGACTTCGCCACCGCTCTTGTGGCTGCTCCTCCTTCCAGTCCTCTGGCCGTCGGGGGTGTGTCTGCCCTTGGCTGTGACGCCCTAGAGGACAGGCAGTTTGAGCTAGAGTTCCTGGCGGCCGCTTCCCCTCATCTCTGTGCCATGCTCCTCGCCCCTGAGGGTGACCCCGACGCCCTTGACATTCCGACTCCTCGCACTTACGCTGAGGCAGTGTCAGGGCCTTGGGCCTCTCAGTGGAGAGCTGCCATGGACGCAGAGATGGCTTCCTACAGATCCACAGGCACCTACGTCGATGAGGTTCCCCCTCCGGGGGCGAACGTAGTCGACGGCATGTGGATCTACAGGGTGAAGCGGCCACCGGGATCTCCTCCGGTCTTCAAGGCGCGCTACGTGGCTAGAGGTTTCAGTCAGCGCGAGGGAGTTGACTTCTTTCAGACCTTCGCGCCCACCCCGAAGATGACCACTCTTCGGGTGTTACTACACGTAGCAGCACAGAGAGACTACGAGTTACACTCTCTCGACTTCTCTACTGCTTTCCTTCAGGGCAGTCTTCACGAGGAGGTCTGGTTGCGTCGTCCCTCTGCCTTCACTGGCTCTTTCCCTCCTGGGACCTAGTGGAGGCTGAGGCGACCGGTTTACGGTCTTCGTCAGGCTCCTCGTGAGTGGCACGACACCCTGCGTTCTACCCTGTCTGACCTTGGGTTCCAGCCGTCTTCTGCTGACCCGTCGCTGTTCGTTCGTCGTGGCCCCACACCTTTCTTTGTTCTGGTCTACGTTGACGACCTTGTTTTCGCCACCCCTGACAGGGTTGCTTTGGCACACGTGAAGTCCGAACTGCAGAAGAGACACACCTGCACTGATCTTGGTGAGCTGCGCCACTACCTTGGCCTGCAGATCACCAGGGACAGAGCTGCTCGCACCATTACACTTTCACAGTCGCACATGGTGCAGCAGGTCCTTCAGCGGTTCGGGCTTCAGCACTCCACAGTACAGCGCACACCTCTTGCTGTTGACCACAGACTCACTGGACCCTTTCCTGACGAGCCGTTCGAGCCTAGTGGTCCCTACGCTGAGCTTGTGGGTTGCCTCATGTACCTGATGACTTGTACTCGCCCGGACCTCGCCTTCCCTCTCAGCGTTCTTGCGCGCTTTGTTGTGCCAGGGAGACACCGTCCTGTTCACTGGACAGCAGCTGTGAGGGTGGCGAAGTACCTAGCGACGACGTCAGGCGTGGGGCTAGTTCTTGGAGGGCAGCAGTCTGTCGTACTTACTGGTCACTGTGACTCCTCTTACGCTGACGACGCTGAGACTCACAGGTCTACTCAGGGGTACTGTTTCAGCCTGGGTTCTGGAGCTGTTTCCTGGCGGTCCACGCGCTCCTCTTCGGTCTCGACCTCTACAGCTGAGGCTGAGATCTACGCTGGTGCCATGGCGGCATAGGAGCTGCGTTGGTTGACCTTCTTGCTCACTGACCTTGGTGAGCGGCCGAGCTCTGCACCGACCTTGTTCACTGACAACAAGGCGTCTATTCTCCTTTGTCGAGAGCCACGACTGGAGAGCAGAGTGAAGCACATTAACGTCAGGTACTTTCTTCTGCGAGAGTTGCAGAGGCGTGGACAGGCTCGCTTTGAGTTTGTGGAGTCCGAGGCCAACACTGCAGACATCTTCACCAAGGCGCTTGCGCCTTGTGACCACCAGAGGTGCTGTGTGCAGTTAGGCCTTGTTGACACTGGTTCTCGTGTTGCTTAGACTTGAGTGTACTGTTTACTTTGCTTTCTATATACCTCTGTTACTTCTTGGACTGGCCTTGTGGCCACTGTTGTTTGTGCTCAGACTGTGTGGTGACGTTGTGATCCACCCTGAGCTTCGTTTCTTGGACTGGTCTTGTGACCGTACTCGTGTGGTTCTGCTAGACACCCCTCACTTAGGCTATGGGGGTGTGTCAAATATTGTAGCCTATAGTGAGGTTTGTCTTAGGGGGTACAAAACTTAGGGTTAGCTATATGTACCCCAACCAACATCAATGCATCATCCATTCTTCATTTTGACAGTAACCATCGCGTTGCTCTCGCGCTCATATTGAATCGCCTTTCCGTCGCCCTTCCTCCCCCTCCTATCACCCACTTCGTCGCCGTCACGCGCGCCTCAAATCGCCCACCCTCGCCCCTACCGTCGCCATCACCCTCGCGATCTCCTCTCACATCCCGTCGCCATTCCTCTCTTGTTGCCCTTCCTCACTCCTGTCGCCAGTTCGCTATCCCGTCGCCCTTCCTCTCTCTCGCCGCCCTTCCTGTCTCCCGTCGCCCTTCCTCCCCTGTCGCCCTTCTTCTCTCTCCTCCCGCCGCCCTCGCGTCTCATCGCGATCGCGTTCCCACCACACTCCCGTCACCCTCCGTCCCGCCTTTCGTAATTTATTACCTCCCCTCGCGTCGTTCCTCTTCTCTTCCCTCCCCTCCCGTCGATCCCTCTTCAGGTCCTCGATCCCGTGGCCTCGCTCTCTCCCATCCCTTTCCGCCGCCCTCACTCTCTCCCCTGCCTTTCCGTCGCCCTCGTTCTCTCCCCTCCCTTTCCGCCGCCCTCGCTCTCTCCCCTCCCTTTCCGTCGCCCTCGCTCTCTCTCATCCCTTTCTGTCGCCCTCGCTCTCTCCCCTCCCTTTCAGTTGCCCTTGCTCTCTCCCCTCCCTTTCCGTCGCCCTCGCTCTCTCCCCTCCCTTTCCGTCGCCCTCGTTCTCTCCCCTCCCTTTCCGCCGCCCTCGCTCTCTCCCCTCCCTTTCCGTCGCCCTCGCTCTCTCTCATCCCTTTCTGTCGCTCTCGCTCTCTCCCCTCCCTTTCAGTTGCCCTTGCTCTCTCCCCTCCCTTTCCGTCGCCCTCGCTCTCTCCCCTCCCTTTCCGTCGCCCTCGTTCTCTCCCCTCCCTTTCCCTCGCCCTCGCTCTCTCTCATCCCTTTCCGTCGCCCTCGTTCTCTCCCCTCCCTTTCCGCTGCCCTCATTCTCTCCCCTCCCTTTCCGCCGCCCTCGCTCTCTCCCCTCCCTTTCCGTCGCCCTCGTTCTCTCCCCTCCCTTTCCGTTGACCCTTGTTCTCTCCCCTCCCTTTCCGTCGCCCTCGCTCTCTCCCCTCCCTTTCCGTCGCCCTCGCTCTCTCTCATCCCTTTCCGTCGCCCTCGCTCTCTCCCCTCCTTTCCGTCGCCCTCATTCTCTCCCCTCCCTTTCGTACTTGCTATCTCCCCTAGCATTCCGTGGATTTTTCTCACGCATCTCTCCTCTCGCGTCCTCTTTTCTATTGCTCTATTTGTCTATTCTCTGTTATACGCAGCGATGGTTCACATGTTGTTATTGCCGCCCTAGCAGGCCTATGTCTAAGGCCTTAGCTTTGTGTGAGTTGGGCTTGCTTTGCGTGAGTTGGGCTTGCTTTGCGTGGGTTGGACTTGCTTTGCACGAGTTGGACATGCTTCACGATGTAAATTTGGCTCTGAATGTGATTGCGATTCGCACGTCGTTGCCTTTCAAGCGACGTATTTGGACATGCTTGCGATGATTTTTGTTCGAGAAATTTGGAGACTCGATCAGTATCATATGGGGCTGGAAAAAAAATACACAACAGTACTTCAACTTTCAAGTGGACCCAACTAGAAGGGGGGGGTCACTATTTTAGCTGCTGGCTTTAAAATCGGGGACCGGCCGTTCCTACATGCTACCTGAGAGCATGGACCAGTTTATACGGTACCCACAACCAAAATGGGCCAACTCTGAGTGCCAAACCCTGGAGCAGTTTTGGTCTTGGATTGACAAGGATTCCGAGAAGAAACGCAGACCACACATGCAGAAGAAACTGTTCGCCACTCAAACCGAGTTTCAATGGTTAAGTTCATATTTCAACGTAGTGTAGCTATGAGGGTTAGCAGCCATCAATCCCATCCTCCCCTTACAATCACTGCCACGCCTCGCCCGTGCCGTCCCCTCACCCCCTCTCTCCCCTCTTGACCGCGCCTTCACGGCCCTTTCGTGCACGCGTACTTGATAGGTGTTCGAATTGAAAACAGGGGCAACTCCTGAATGGATGGATGATTGAACCACGGTGTACCTTATTGTAACGTTCCAAATTACTTCCAACCATCTGACAACCAGTCAATTTCCGATTGCTGTCAGAGCTTTTGCTTTCAGATATTTCTATAAACATCAGCGCCCACCCCAATGCAGCACCTGACCAGAGTACTCGTTTTCACCCTATTTCCGCAACGTCCAGACTCTAGTCTAGACCTAGGCGCACCCGTCACATGCGGTACGCAGGAGCGCCCGATCTGATCCGATCCGACTCTTGGCCATGAAGCATGAGGAGACTCTTGCCTCGTCATTCCTATCCGTTGCACGTTCTTCCCGCGCCGCGTTGCTCTCCGCCGCTTGCTGTCTCCTCTAAACCCAAACCTCCAACGTCTTCTGCGCGTTCCTTCCCGCTAGCTTCCCCTGACTGCTCCGCCCAAGCCCGCTGCCTTCTCCCCCCCTGCATTCCGCGTGCTCTGCTTCCATTTTCCCCTTTTCCCTCCGCCGCATTTTGCGCTAATGCTCCTCTCGCCTCTCGCGGCGCGCTCCATCGTCACTGCTCGCAGCTCGCCAGACCTCCTGCTTCTCCTCCGCCTCCTACCGATAATCGCGCTAGCCGTTGCACGCCTCCGCTCTTTCCGCTAATTCTCTCTCCTCCGCGGAATCGCGCGTGGAGGTCCATTGCCCCGTGGACTGCCGCCGTCTCCGTCTCCCGCAAAGGCTGCTCGACATCCGCCGTCCCGCGAGCCTTTTCCGGAGATTGCTCCGACCCCCCGCGCGGCCTAACGTGCGGCGCGGGAAAGAAACCGGCGGAAGGAGTAGCACTCTCAGGGGAGGGGGAACGAGGGGTAGCGGGATTGCCATCTGACACAAGCCGGCTGAGCGACTCGGTTCTAGACGCCGGGTCGGTTCGCGAAGGCGATTCGGAATTAGGTTCTGATTCCGCGTTAGAGTCTGATTTGGGCCCGACGCCGCCAGGCACGCTCACTAAGTCGGCCAGCGTGCCGGAAATCGCGGCGGAAGTTGCGGCGAAAATCGCGGCGGAAAGCACGGCGGGGTCGGGCGTGCTAGTGGAGATGGACGTGGTTCGCGCGAACTTCGAGGAGGGTCTGGCGGCGCTCGAGGCGGCTTTAAAGACGTGCGACCTGGTGGCGTTCGATGGCGAGTTCACGGGGTTACACGTCAGCAACACCAGCAACTACGGGTACTGCTGGCGACGCCGCCACGCACAGAGTGGTTGGTTGCACCCAACGTTCTCTTGGCCTTGCTGCTGTTGTTGCTGTTCAAACTTCTCCCTAAGTCTCTCTTCCAATGTAGGCTGCGCTATGCTATGCTGTGCTCTTTTCTGTTCTCGGTATTGGACGGAATCAGAAGAAGCTGGGCGGGATACAGCTTGGTGAAACAAAGTAGCTTATCGGTTCCTTCCTTCCCCTCTTCCTTCCCCGCCTCCCCCCCCTTTCCTCTCCCCTCCCTCCTCTCTCCCCCGCCTTCCCCCTCCCCCTGCTGCTGCGCTCCCCCACGTGCGTGCGCGCGTGCGCCCAGGTTGCAGCTGCTGGATTCGCCGCAGCAGCGGTACGAGCGCGTGAAGGAGGGCGCTGGCAGCTTCTTCACCATGCAGGTGAGAGGGGGAGGGGAGGGAGGGGGGAGAGAAGCTGGGGGAGGGTGAGGGAGGGGATGGCGGGGGAGGAGAGGGGAGAGAGTGGGGTTGAGTGGGGAGCGGGGGGAAAAGGACGAGAATCAGGTGTGAAGAAGTTGCGGAGCTGGGGGGCCAGGGAGGGTGCGGGAAAGATTTGGTGTTTGAGGCAGTGCAGCACTGTAACTGGGGGAAAGGCACAGAGGACGAGGCATTGGGGAGTGGTGCGCTATGAACTGAAGTTGATGCCCAGAGAGGGAGAAGGGAGGAAATAGAGAATTGACGGGAGGTGGGAGGTAAGAGGGGTGCAAAGTCAGAATGCGATTGAGCGTATTCTTTAATTGAGGGCGTTTCTAGATTCTACCCTCCCGTGCTTCCTTCATACATTTCGCCTTCAACTCTCCCTCCTCACCCAATAGCTCCCATCTCCTTCTCCCTCAATGACCATCTTCTCTGTCTCCCCCACCCTCACTCCCCCATCTTCCCCCCTCTTCCTCCCCGCTTCGCTTCACATCCTCTCCCCGTGTGCGCGGGGGGCACCAGCTGGGCTTCAGCGCGCTGACATGGGACGAGGCCAGAGCGGCATACAGTGCGCGCACCTTCAACTTCAACATCTTCCCGCGCCCCTTCCCTGGCTTTGACCTGCGCTTCCTCTGCCAGGCACGCTTCCCTCCAGCCACCACTCCCTGGATCCTCCTACCCACTGCGCTCGAGCTCTCAGCTCTGCAGTTTTTCATCACACGTCTCTTCATCCCTCTTCATCCCTCTTCACCTCTCGTCACCATACAACACGCCTTTCTCCATTCGTCCCATCTCCCCTGTCCAGTGCGCTCGATTACCCCCCTATCCCCCTCCCTCCTTCCCCCACCCAATGGATGCCCCAGCTTCGCCTTGCAGCCCCCCTCCTGTGCTCCTCTTTTCTCTTCCTCCTCCATCTCTTGCCTCTGACAGCCCATGTGTGTTTGCCTGCCTCTGCATGTCTGTCTGTCTTTGCGTGGGCGTGCACACGCACGCGTGCATGTACATGCGGGTGCCTGTGCACGCATACTTCTGTGCGGTGCGGTGCGGTGCGGTGAGAGCAGGCATCATCAATGGATTTCTTAGCGCGCAACAACTTTGACTTCAACAAGTTCGTCTACCAAGGTAGGTACCCACCCACGCCACTGTCCCTCAACATAATCATGCCATTCTCTCTCCATCTCCTCTGATTCTGCTGCTGGCGTAGTTACCAGCAGCGGCCCGCCGCCGCCGCTGCCGCAACCGCCGCCGCCGCCGCTTCTGCTGCTGCTGCTGCAACTGTTGCTGCTGTTGCTTCTCCGGCCCTGCACCACCTCTCCTGCCCGGACAGCGTTTATTCCTTTCTTCCCTCTGTTTAGTCCTTTCCCACTACCTCTCCCATCACGCACTGCATTGCCCATTCAACGCTCACGCAGCCTCCCAGTCCTCCCGTCTCTTCCCACACACTATATTTCACCCCTTCCCCATTTATCCCCTCCCCTTTGCCCCCCCCACCCCTCCCTCCCCCATTCTCCCCCTCTCCTCTCCAACCAGGCGTGCCGTACCTGCCACTGGAGAAAGCCGAGAGGGAGAGGCGGCGACTGCGAGCGTCATTCCGGAGCAGCAAGGGCGGGGCAGAGAACGGGGCAGGGAGCGCAGACGCGAGCAGCAGCAGGCAGGTGCAGCAGCAGCGGGCGCCCATAGTGCTGTCTCGGCCCGAGGACAGACTGGCAGTGGGACAGCTACTGGATGACGTGCGCACCTGGGTGCTCTCCACGTCGCCCCCTCCCACTCACCTCGCCTCTCTCTCCTCACCTGCTGCTGCTGCTGCTGGTGGTGCTGGTGGTGCTGCTAATGGCAAGGCTGGTGCTGCCAGTGGGGAAGCAGTCACCAAACAAGGAGCAGCAGGCGAGGCGGGAAGAGGAGAAGCAGTAGGAGCAGCAGCAGAGGGGAAGGGGGAGGGCGAGGAGCACGGGGCGGTGCAGCTGCAGGTGGTGGTGGGTAACTCGTTCCTGCGCGCTGCCCTGCTGCAGCAGCTGGAGGAGGAGTTTGGGCAGACCGCCTTCTATGTCGTGCGCGGAGAGGTGAGGCGGTGTGCTGCTGAGGTGGTGAGGGGCTGAGGTGGTGAGGGGTTGAAGTGGTGAGGTGGTGGGGTGAGGAGGGATTGAGGTGGTGAGGTGGTGAGGGGTTGAGGTGGTGAGCATGGGCATGTGTTGCTTTGGACAAGTGTGGCTGCTGCATGTCTTCTATTACTTGATGCGATGCGCTGCAAGGCTGCCCTTTACCCGCCATCTTTACCGCTGTGACGGTACTTCCCTCTTCTGCTCACCTGCTCCCTCCACCCCTCAACACTTGTCCCCTCCTCCCTCACTCTTCCCTCTCCCCCCCCCAATTCCCCTTTCCCCCTCGCCCTCCCCCTCCCCCCAGCGCCCCCAACGCGGCCCTGAAACCCTCCTTCTCGTCCGCGCAACCCAGGAGGACGCGGAGGAGTGGGGGCGGCAGGAGGAGCAGCGGCAGCAGCAGCAGCTAGAATCATCCATCGGGTTCACTCGGGCAGTGGAGGCGGTGATGCGAGTGAGCAGGGAGCGGCGTGTGCCGCTGCTGGCGCACAACTGCCTGTTTGACCTCGCGTACCTCTTCCACCACTTCATCCGCCCCATGCCCGACTCCCTCGATGACTGGCGCCGCCAGGTGAGGGGCTCTAGTAGGGCTCTAGTAGGGCTCTAGTAATTTTTGCTTGCTTGTTTTTGAGGCACCTCACATTTCGTACTGGGGTTGCTTTTGCTCTCCACTCCAACTAACCCTTTCATAACCCTCCCTCCCATCACCCACTTCCTCTCTCAGTACTCCATCTATCCGATTACCCTGTCCGTCTCTCATCACCCTCTCTCCCATCACCCTCTCTTCCGATGTGCGCCTGTGGCAGTTCCTAGAAGCTTTCCCAGGCGGCGTCTACGACACCAAGCACCTTGTCTCACTCCTCCCACCTGCACTGCTCCCCCCAAGCACCTCCCTCTCTTCACTCTTCGAGTTCTTCTTCCACCGCCCCGCCTCACCCCCATCCACTCCCGTGGGTCACAAGGAGGGTGAGGAGGCTGGGGCGGGGGAAGGTGGTGGGAGCACGCAGCCATTAGCTTGCTTCCTAGACGTTGCAGTGGCTATCAATCCCGAAAAGGAACCGGAGGGCGAGGGGGAGAGGGTGCGAGGAGAGGGGGTGCGTGAAAACGGTGGAGAGGACACGGCAGGAGCCGGGGACGAGAGCTTGAAGGGAGGCGAGGGGGAGGAGGGGAGCAGAGGTGGGGAGCAGGAGGAGGCAGGGGAGGAGGAGGTGGTGAGAGTGCAGTGGCCGGCAGTGGTGCACGGGGAGGGTTTCAACCGCTACAGGCATCTGTCGCCAGACAACCCTGCCATGGCACATGAAGCAGGGTGAGTTGCAATTTGTTGGGTTTGAAACACAGCAAGCCTGCTAAGAGTAACGATCTACAGCACTAGTCAACCGCTACAGGCATCTGTCGCCAGACAACCCTGTCATGGCACATGAAGCAGGGTGAGTTAGCACCGCTGCCGCGGCTGGTAACACAGCCTTGGTACGGGAGGGTTGGGGGCATGTGCGCTTGGGCGTGGGCAGTTGGGTGTGGGCTACGGGATATGCGTGGTGGAGAGTAGAATGGAGGCAGAATGGGAAGCAATATTGTCCTGTGGCCAGTCGATTCATTCCTCTCGTCACACACACAACTTGCTATTTCCCCGGCATGTGTTGCGCCTGGGTCCCCCCCTCCCCCACCACTGCCCCCAGCTTTGATGCGTATATGACAGCAGCAGTCTTCATTGCCATCTCCTCGCTCCTCGCCTCGCCTACCCTCTCCGCCAAGGTACCACACACACACTGATACTGCACCTGCACCTTGTGTACTGCATCATCAAAACTGCATGTCAGGAGCCGCTTTGATTGGTGTGCTGCTCGTATTGGCCGACTGGGTCCGCACATGGATTCACAGCAGAGTGCAGTGCAGCTGCTGTACAATGCATTCAAGCCTTCTTGCCACATGACTTCTTGCCACATGACTTCCTGCCACATGACTTCCTACCACATGACTAACTTCCAGAGAACCCATCAGCTATCCTCGTCTTCCCGTCAACCGTTGCCTTTCTTCCTGCCTGCAGTGTGTGAAGGTCTTGCCTCGCGCATCAACTCCTAAAGCAGAAGCAGCATCACCATCACCAACACAAAAACAATCAGCAAACGCCACGGCAGCAGCATCCACAGCAGGTGGAGGTGGTTCAACCACTGCAACTGGGACTACCACATGTCTCAACACAACCACCGGTACCACAGGCAATACCGGTGCCTTGACAGCAAGCTCACCAGCAGCAACACATGCACCCATGCGCAGCTGCACCTCCCCATCGCGCATCAACCTCACCAACCCGTCCTCACCGCTCTCAGCCCACCGCAACCGTGTGAATGTCATGTTCTGGGACGTGAAAACCCTTCCTCTTGACGGTCCTCTGCCTGCCCCTGAACGCTCTAACCTCTTCCTCCTCTCTGGCTTCGATGCCAACTCCACCACCACCTCCTCTATTCTCGACCTCTTCCAGTCAGTAGGGTTGGGAGACGTTCGGGTGACCTGGGTGGACCGAACCTCAGCGGTGGTCTCTGTTGCTGATCCGAGCCTGGCTGCGTTGGCAGTAAGTGCTGTGGAAGGTTCTGGATGGGTGGGAGCGATTGAGGCATGGAGAGGGGCTGAGTACGAGGAGGTGAAGGAGAAGGAAGGAGGAGAGGGAGGGAAGGAAGTTAGGAGGAGAGAGAGGGAGATTCAGAAGGAAGAAGAAGAAGCTGTTGGAAGGTCAGGAAAGCTTCCTAGAAGGAGAGGAAGAGCGACGAAGGAGGAGGAGGAGACCAAGAATGAAAAGGGGGCATGTGCAGTGATGTAGCAGGCAGTCAACTTTCTTGCACCGATCGGTGAGCAAATGCGGGTTTTTTACTTGCATTCATGCTGTACTGATAACGATTTTCATTTTTGGCTGCTTAGATTGTGTAAACCATATGGTAATAGTCACTTAACAATATCCAGCATGTGACCATAACTTGGGAACACCAAATTAATCACAGATGCCTCAGTGAAGGTCCCTCCCAATATCTTGCATAGACCCTCGTTCACTCTTTCCATCATTAGATGCCCTCTTCTACTAAAGCTCATTAGGTGTCTAAAAGAGAGCCATCCAGTCCAGAAGCAAGGGAAATGTTGTTGGGTTAATTGTTTTTTTTTTGTGAGGTTGGAAGTACACTATAGCAAGGATACAGCCACAGTCATGACTGATGTTGTTGGGTTGTAAATCTCGTAAGTGGGGATAACAGTGTGATTTTCATGGGTATCCTCGTCACCAACCAGCTGGTGCTGTGTGGAATGAACTTGCTGACAGGTGGCAAATGTCCAACACGATCAGGATTCTATTGCGTCCGCCATGAAAACCCTAGGTTGCCTGACGCATTTCTCCTCACCACCACCACAGCACATAGGGATTCAGCAGCCATTCAGATCGCGTCACGTTGGTTTGTGTGTGGTGTGGTGCCGATTCGCATCTGGGATAGATTTGCCGCACTTCCCTGTCATCCCCCAGTCGCGGCTGTTGATTGGTTCCCGTAGGTCCAGCACAGGTTGCCCTTCGTGTCCTAGTGGCTTTAGGCCCATAAAAAAACATCAACACACACTCAGCCCATACTTCATGCGCAGCCCAGGTTCAATGTACATCCAGTTGTGACTACGAAAATTTAATGTCAGCAATACATTGCAAATCCCTCTTGCATTCTACCTAAAAAAAAATGTCACGTGCTCTCACACAAACTACTTCATACACTGGTGTGGAATGAAATGGATGGAATGAGATGGATGGGTCTGAGAAGGGAACAAGCCGTGGTGCTTCAGCACTTGGTGACAATAATTTGATTTTTCAAAGGGGATAGTGGTTTGATAACTCTCATCGTCACACCTGAGCGGATAGGAGGTGGGGCGGACAGAAAGGGGAGGAGGGGTGGGACTCTGGCCTATAAAAAGCTCCCAAGCCGTAACACTTACGTCCCAGCAGTGACCTTTGACATTCAGGGCAATCCAGACGACGAAACCATGGAAACCAGCAGGAGCCTTCAGTTATGCCCTTCATTTCATTGACATTGAGGCCATTTGCCTTATCATTGACAGCCCTGCGCCGTAAACCCCATTTAATTCCTTTGCAGTTTGGTTGACGCACGAGGTATGACCGTTGCATACATACAAGCACGCCGCCTGTATTTGGATAAGCGGTTTGCCAGCGCACTGAAGCTGTTTTTTGTCGCAGACCAATCAGCAACATTTTTGTGCACGCGTTTCCAGTCGGTTTCATGTGAGTGTGGGTTCTTGTGGCGGGATGTGATGGGACGATCTCCACTACAGTACGTGACCCGTATGCCTTTGAGAAGTCGGGGTCACGAAAATCGGGAGGGGAAGGGGCTTCAAAGGGCCATCCGCCGCTATTCCTCACCAATTTCACGCCGTGCAACTCGTTTTGAGAAGCACCCTGTACCCGATTTCAGCTTAACCAACGACCACCCAGAATTTGAAGGCTATAAACGACTCCGTCATGTGCCGAGATATATACAAAAACTCCCGCATCGAGGCTGCAGCGCATCAACCAAAGTTTGTTGCGACCCGTTTTTGTCTCTAACTCGTCTGAGACGTCTGGAACGTACCGTCTTTAAACCAAATGTATTCAAAACAACTCTTTATTTCGGGGAAACTGTTAATATTTACACAGAGGGTGAAATTGGGCCTATCAGGAAGAGGAGTTCCCTACAGTATCAGGAAGAGGAGGAGTTCCTGTCTTGGTTGTGTGGTTGGGTTTCCTTTGGTTCCGCAAATTTGCAAAATATCCCCTCGTCTCATTTTCGACAACCTCCAAGAACGTCCCGGCCGAGCCGCCCACAGCAACGGTTGGTTCGTCCCAAAGGTCCCGCTCCGTTTTAGGTCGGGAAATTCCATACTCACCCGACTTAATGCTGTTTGTGGTTGGGAAAATTGATTTGCACACAACACAAAACGGTCAGGGTGGCGCGGAAACCAAATGATTATCAGCTCACAATTCGCAAAATGGCTAATTTGCCACATCGCTCCTCTGTACAAGTACCCTCGCACGGCGAAGTCCCGGGCTCATTTTTCGTTTCAAGCCACTCTTCCAGAAAAGAGTGAAATCCGCGCGCCCCTCGGCTGGGCCGAGTGGCTCGCTGCAATATCCGGGTGTGGCCAGGTTGAAAGTGCAGTCGCATCTTGAGGACTTAGCCAAAATTTCATGCTTATCCAATCTTCATACTATCAGTCAATGACTTAGCCAAATCTCATGCTCACCCATTCATTCTTCGACTCGCAGACAAGGACTTAGGCTTCTTAGGTCAGAAAGTTCACAGTTTTGGCGAAGTACATAAGTGACACGGTAGGGGCAAAATCTGTACTTGTACAGAATGGCCGAGTGGAGAATTCGGCAATGCGGCCACAGCAGCCTAAAAAAAAAGCGATCCCTGAAGTAGGCCGATTCACAATTGTGGCAACTCGTTAATTGACGGGTGGGCCGAAAATCCACCTGGATTTGAATAGTAGGCCGGGTAAATCATCCTGCAAAAATAGGCCCTTCACGTCGCGTTCTGTCGAAAGTCAGATCTCTTGTACACCTACTCGTTACTGTACCTACCCGCCATTGTCAACAAGCGTATCACAGAACAGCACTTGCCCACCCACTCGTCATTGTAATAAAATCCTCCTCCCCCGTGCCATGACTGCCTGCTCCACTTGTTCCCCACGGTGCCACCATTGGGGCACCACAATCTGCTGCTTCAACGCCAAGTGGAGCTCATTTCACCAGGCTACGTCCCTTCTTCGGACCGACAAATCTCAACTCCTCTGAGCTATACTGTAGTGTCATTTCGGTCGTTCTCATCCCGTCGTGAATACGTGTATATGTACATCAACACAGCCGCATACGTGCTCAATTCTCATTCCAGCCCGTCTCTCGCGCGACTTCCGCACTTGCATAATCGAGTGGTGCTCTGTTTTTTTATTATTATTATTATTTTTAATCAAGCCTTTTCTCGAATGCTCGTGTAAACCATGGCTCTCTGCGTATCATCTCAACCGTCCAGCTCGGACCACCGCGCACGGCCGTCACTCACGTCGCCCTCCGATATGATGCGCTCCAGCACCTCCCCCGCCGCCTTCGCCCGACACCACCGCTACCCCGCGCACCAGCCCTCCCCTGCCGGCTCACCTCCTTCCCAAACCTCCTCACCTGGCGGGTCAACCTTGGGCACGCCTTCGCGCTTTTACCAAGCATCACCGCCCCCGCCCACGGGGGAGGCAAGTGAAACGCTTCTTCCGCAGGAGCAGCAGGCGCGCACGTCCCTCGACGGTCCATCATTTGCGCCGACCTTCCTCCAGATGCAGCCGCGCCGCCCCACGTGGCTCCCCGCGGACCAGCAGGACGAGCTGCTCGACGACGAGGCCCTGGCGGAGCCCCCCGTGCGCGGAACTGCGCGCGCCATCGCACGGGGTGCCAGCTGGACAGGTTCCGCGTCTTCCCACGCGGTTTTCGGCGGGCGGCGTAGCTCAGCGACTGGTGACGGAGTGCTGGGAGGAGAGCCGCTGAGCAGCGAGTCGGTGTGTCCGATCCCCGCCGTCAACTGGAAGGAGTCGGCGATGTCGGACGAGGCTCGGCGCGCTGTGGCGTCCTCGGTGTGCCCCATCGCGCCGCAGGACTGGCGCGCTCTCTCCCGCACCAGCAGCGCCAGCGCCAGCGAGCACGACTTGGCCGCGTCATCGGTCCTCAGCACCGCCGTCGGTCTCAGCGGGTCTTGCGGCGCCTCGACACCGCCGGGGTCACTATCGTCGGCGGGCAGCTCGCCGCTGCACAGGAGTCCGTTGAACAGCGGCCCGCTGCAGAGCACGTCGTCGTGCCCGCTGCCAGCGGACGTGTTTCACGGCGTCGTGGCTGGCGGCGTGGGGTCCGCGTCTGCTGGTTCGGGTTTCAGCGCAATTGGTGCTACAACGGCGTATGCTAGTACCGGGACGACTGGGAAGGAGTCGGGTGCTGTTGCGAGTGGTGTGAGTGGAGTCGTACCCACGGCGGTTCCTCTTCATGTATCGCTGAGGGAGCAACTGCTGCGCGCCAATAGCGGGTCCTGTGCCTACCAAGGTACCGTCCCCCATCCCCCTCCCCCCCCCTTCCCCTTCGTTGTTGTTTCGTTGTTTTATTCGTCCCTCCCCCATATTTTCTTTCTTCTATCCTTCCTTTTTTGTTCTTTTTTGCTTTCTTTCTTTTCTGCTTTGCCACTGACCTGTTCGAGTTGTCACCCCGGCCTTGTCCTCCATCGCACCTTTCCTCCAGTCCTTACTCCCACAGCCGAAGTGTTCTCATCAGTTCCGTTCTTCTCCCTCTCCTTCGTTTCTCGTTTATGGGCGCAGGTCCGGCAGCTGTGCGACCCGCCATTAGTCGCATGGCGATGTCTTGCTCTAACAGTCGCCAGTCGAGTGGTAACTTTGCGGGCTACTCGCAAAGTTCCAACTCCAGCCCTGCGCGCGATTCTATTCACGGCAGTGAAGACACGGGATCAAATGGCGGCGTCAATTGGCAAGGTAAGGAGGGGCAGGGAGAGAGACGGAAGTGCTAGTTGGTGCAAAATAACGGAGAAGGGTGAAAGTTGGAAGAAACTTCACTGTTTTTTTCCTAGGCAAGAATTTCGCACATGCGCATTTCAATAAATATATGGGTTCTCTTCACATTTTTCCCTCATGTACCTTGACTCTGCAGAGCTTGACAACCTCTGCCAGAGCATGGACGCAGCGGGGATTATGATAGAGCAGATTGACCTCACACCTCTGGATGACGCATCGGATGATATCCACGGCCACGCCTCTGCTGCTGCTGCTTCTTTCTCGGGTTCTGGGAGGAATGCCAAAGTTTCTGCTGCTCCTGAAGCTGGGGAGGGTGCTGCTCCGGTGAAGTATGCTGTCAAGTTTGGTGGCATGTCCATGTGGCACTCACCCTCTCATTGAAGATTACCCTCAAGGCCTTGGTAGGGGATGGCCTTTTGCAACCCTGAAGGCCTTTCAACGCCCATCATCAGGGTGTAAGGAGGGATTTTTTTGTGCAGAGGATTGTACATTTGGGCGCATGTATGGGAACTGTTGGGCTCACGTGTGGGAACTGGTAGGGAAATGGCACTAACTGCATGTAGTTTTTCCAGTTCTGTCTGGAACTAGCTCTCGGTCTGCTCATGGTTGCTCCCACAACCTCTTGGAGGTTTATGTTGCGGATCTATTACTGTTACGTGTATTTCATTCTGTCTGATTCACGGAGCATCTTTGGAAGTGGGTTGAAAGGCTACCATATTAAAAGTAGATGATGCCTTGCCTGGGTTATGTCATGACACAGCAAGGTTTGCTGTAAGTAGAATGGCTCGTGTCATGACACAGCAAAACCTTGGTACCGCCTTTGAGACCAGTGACACCTACATGAACCCAATCTACGGCATATGATTCGATAAATCGTTATTTTTCAAGACCTACCCCTGCCGTGAGACAACTTTATTTTCTGAGGTTTGCTCAGCGGTTCACCAGAATGGCGCAAAGACCAACGCCGCCGTCACCCGCAAGCTTTCGGCGCACAGGCCAAAGCCCCTCTGAACTCCGAGCCAGAGAAGTCGGTGGTTTGGGAGGTACGGGAACTGGTGAGCCTGTTTGTCGGTCTCCTTGGGCAGCCGCCAGCAGCTGACTGCCCCCGAAGCCACAAGCAAGGAGGACAAGCAGCAGCACGAGTTTGGAAATACATTTTGCACCTGCGAATTTCTTGGCCTTCCACGTCATTCCATTGCAAACTTCTTACCTACGTAAGGCATGCCCACGTACCGAGCGTAAAAATCAAGCACAATAGCGTGGCCTAGCCTACTAAGGTTATAGAAAAAGAATCTGACATCAGGGCTGCCATTGACCACTGCGACCTACATGTCTCACGACGACCGCCCTTCTGTCCCCTTCTCCCCCACCCACTGTCACGTCACGTCGCCACTCAAGAAGCACACGGGCGCGTCGCGTTCGCCTCTCGTCGCCGGCGCGGACTTTCGCAGCCCGCGCCGGCCGCTTTCCGGCGCAACCCGCAGCAGCCGCTGCCACGGGATGGCGCGCGGGGGGGCGTGGCTCCCCAAGTGGGAACTTGACAACGACGACGAGCCGGCGGTAACGGAGGCGGGTGAAAGGAAACCCAGGAGGCAAGCCAGGAATTGGCAGGACATTGAGGTGGTTGATAACGGAAAAGTAGAAGAGTTTTCAAAAAAAGGCGCGGAGAGCAGGAGATCTGCACCGTTGGCCGGAACGGCCGCGGGGAACGAGCAAGAGACGGAAATGGACGAGTCGATCTCACCAGCCTGCGTGCTGGCCACGGCAACGCAGGAAGCGCTTGCCATGGCGGCGGCTGAGGGCTGCTGTTGCGAAGCTGGCGATGATGGAGCGAGCAGCGCGGAACCGGCGGGACGGATTTGCGCTGAGGTCGCTGTGCCGGAGAGTGAGGGGCAGGACGTGGCGGAATCTGAGCGGAAAGTTGTCGCTCCAAACGCCTGTGGTTCCCCCTCCCATAACGTCTCTGCAGCAGCACCTGTCTTGTCGAACATAGAGGTGGAACTAGACCAACGCCGGGAGGCGCTTGGGGGGATGCTGGCGGTGCTGCATCAGCGGATGAGTTCCCTTAGAGCCCTGGCAGGGGGGGACGGAAGTGGGGGGGGATGCGGGGTAGAAGGGGAGATCCTAAAAGTGATGGATGAGAGAGAGGATGGTGAGAACGAAGATGAGGAAGTAGAGGAGGGAATTGAGACTGAAGATGGGTATGGCGTGGCGGATGAGGAGGGGCGGGAAGGGGAGGTGAACGGCATGTGTTGCAACAGTCTAGCGAACGTATTGCAGTGTCCAGTAGAGGGCACAACTGGTGCTGGTGTCGCTGCTGGCAGCGTGACGAGCACGGAAAGCTCAGCCAATGTGGGCAGCGGGTATGGGGAGAACGCAAGCTGTGTAAATCTGGAGCTTGGCTCATTGTCTAAACGCGTCGATGAGCAACAAAGCGAGGTTGATGCAGTATGCTGTGCGTCAGGGGAGCCTGGCGCTGCCATAAATGTCACTGAAAGACAGGAAAGAGGGTGTCGTGAGGAGGCGAAACTTGGAGGGAAGGAAGCTGTGGCTGGCAAGGGGACTGATACGAGGTACGGGCAGTTTGGGCTACCATGTGTGCTGTCTGACGACTCAGACGACGACCTGTTTTACGAGTTGCCTTCGTCACCCATCGTATCTGGACCCTCATCGCCACAGTGGCTTCTTCAGTGCCAGTCAGCATCGCCATCAGTTTCTTCGCCAGCTGTGGCACGAATAGAACCAGTACTGGAGGCTAGTTGTTTGCAGAATCAAAGCATCCCCCTCTCGCGACAAACATCCATGCCTCTTCGGTTTTTCATATGGCTCATCTCTTGTTGCTCACGGAGAAGATGGTACGAATGATGTCGTGTCGTGGTAGTTGATGGTGTGTACATATTCGGTTCGCATAACTTCCCATACCGTGACGAGGGACTTACAGATGCACAATTCTTAATACATGATTATGAGTCAGAAACCATTATGCATGCTGAATGACTGTCAGTGAAGTAGTTTCTGTATTGCAAGTCATCTTTGTTGCGTGTCCCCCAAATGCATTTGTCACCTCAGAGGGATTGCACTAAAGAAACTTTTCATATTGAAGGTTAGCAAATGATAATGTGGTGTTGTGAATTCAACAAGTCGTTTATGTCGTAATAATCTGGTTACGAATTTCGTTAGTATCTCTTCGCGTCGATGGCGGTCGTTGCTCATGTCGCGTTGTTCGGAAACCCTTTCCCATCCTGCTTTCCTCGCTTCCGTTCCGCAGACTTTCCCAACGCAGAGCAACGTGCCCTTCCCCCATCCCTTTCCCCCTCCAGATAGATCATCCTCATCCCCGCTCCCCCTCCAGATCACTTCTCGTCCCCCGTTCCACCTCCAGCACTATATCTCGCCTCCGCCCGCACCTCTCGTCCTGTCCAGTCTCTCCCTCTCCCCTCCCTTCCCCGCGTCCTTTCAACGCGGCACTCCCCACCCCACGCCTTTTCGGTTTCCCCGTGCCTTCGGCCGTTTCCTTCCCGCGCCTTCGTTCGTACTCCCCTCCCCGCGCCCATAATTTCCCCGAGCCTTTCAATTTCCCTTTCCCCGCGCATACCCTACCCAACACCGAAATTTTCCTCCCCAGATAATCTCGTGGGGGTTTTTTCCGCCTGCAGCCGGAGTGGAGCGCAGGGCACAACTGCCCAACGGTTCTGCGTTTGTGATCATTGCCTAACTGCTTGTTGGATCTGAGCTCCTTCACTAGTTCACGAGTGTCTGCTTGGGCTGCTCGCGCGGTTGATATTGAGAGCTTATATTTAGTAGCCCTTACTTACAGCTTATAGCTTCGTCCTTGAGTTGCCTCATTAAGCGGTAAGGGTACCGCATTCTGATCCTTCCGGCCTTTCCGATTGCTCACGTCGTGTAGACCGATCAGATTACGCGCGTGTTGCGCCGCTCTTTCGCAGCTAACGCCGATCGTCAAGTTCACTTGACCAGCCCAGCAAACGGTCCGCGGCGGGGCAAACTTACCTGCCTTTGGCGGAGTTTAAGAACGAGGACGCGAGGGCGAGCGGGGGACGGAAACTATTATATTGAGTTAAAGCGAAGCTTGAAACGCACAAGAAATCATGGTGACACACGCGCAGCTGGACGCACACATCGCACAGCTGCAGGAGTGCAAGCCGCTCTCCGAAGCAGAGGTTCGTCTTGCGTGCGGATAATGCTAGCAAAGCTCCACGATCGGTTTTTTGCTTAAAGGTTTTTTATTCGCTCCGAACGTTGCGGTTTTTCGTTGTATAGCTACTCGCTTGTCGAGTTGTTGGGGCGTGTCTGGGTGGAGGAGCTAGGGTATGCCAAGTAGTTACGGTGTTCGTTTACTCTTCAATGCGTCCGACATTGGCGGCGATTACGGTAAACGGCATTTCGTTGGTGGATGGGAACAACGTATTCGTGGACATCGTGACTTAAGCTTTAAGCTGCGGATGGTGGCGATTTACTGTAGATCGGAAACAGTTCGAATGCTAAGCGGGGAGAGGAAAGGGTCAAAAGATAGGCGCAACCGTAGAGGCTGGTTCCGACGGTCGAACGTAGGGGCTAGGAAAACGTAGGGACTGTTTCCTATGGTTCCAGCGATTCACGAACACAGCTGGTCGAACCGAAACGCAGCCCGTAGTTCGCGCGTTTTTCGCCAGTTATTCGCCTCGTTACCATGTCATTTTGCCCTTAGCTATTTCAGGGAAAAAAAAATCCTATGTCTGTCCCTTCCTATGCGTCTGAATGCATGGGTTTGAATGACATTAACGAGCATTGCTTAGTATGGAATGGCGTTGCTTGGCATAACCCTTGTTGATTGGTGTTGAATGGTGTCGAATATAACATCCACGCTTGACGGTGCGTGGCGTGATGTCAATGCGGCTGTTATGACTGGCATGGCGGCATGCAGGTGAAAGCTCTGTGCGAGAAAGCGCGGGAGATTCTCGTGGAGGAGAGCAATGTGCAGGTGACCATCCTGCACCCCTGACCATTGCTGTCGTACCCTTGCTCCCTCTCCTCCCCGTCTCACCGCAACTCGCAAAGACCGCTCGCTCCCGCCGCTTTAGTCCACTGCCACCTGCTGTCCCCCACATTCCGGCGCTCCCGCCACCGCCGCAAAGGCATTTGTCCTGCCTGTTCCCTCGCTCTACGCCGTTACGCCGCGCATCCATATGCTCGTTTCGTCTCTTTAAACAATCAACGCATCCCGTACCTCGCCCACACTCTCGACGCTCTTGCCCACTCACCGCGCCATTCTCCGCCTCTCTTGCCTCCCCCTTCTTCCGCCTCAACCCCTCCCCTTCAATCCTTCCCCCCTTACCTCTCCCCCCCCTGCTTCCGCCAGCCCGTGCGCTGCCCGGTGACCATTTGCGGGGACATCCACGGGCAGTTTCATGACCTCGCGGAGCTCTTCCGCATAGGCGGCAAGGTAGGCGCTGCGAGGGATTCAACCCATACTGGAGAATTTGTAAACTTTTTCCCGCTTCTCCCGCCCCCTCCTTCGCTCTCCCTTCCCTTTGTGTAAGAGATTGAGCGCTTTGTTCGGTTACTAAGTCGCTTTTCTACACGTGTGCTAACTCCTTTCCACTCCCTCCCAACCCCTCCCCTTCTCTCCCCCTTCCCCGCCTTCTCCCCCTCCTTTCCCCACTCTCCACCCACTTCTCCTCTCCCAGTCCCCCGATACGAATTACCTGTTCATGGGGGACTATGTGGACCGAGGCTACTACTCCGTGGAAACCGTGTCGGTGCGTCGCTGTGGTGCCACGGGGTGGGGGGAAAGAGGGGTGCGAGGGGGTAATGGGTGCGAGGGGGTTATGAGGGCTACTGATGGGGGGAGGGGGTAAGGGGAGCAGACGGAGGGAGCGCATGAGGAAAGCGCATGAGGGGAGCGCATGAGGGGAGCGCATGGGAGGAGCAGAAGGGGTCGGGTTAATTTTGGGAGAGGGAATTTGTGGGAGGAAGAATGAGGGACTTGGGTGCAAGTGGAAAGGAGCCGAGCGAGGCGTTTATTGTCCTGTTCTCGCTGCCAGAGGTCTTTGCTTGTTCGTCATCAGCATCAGCTTTCTCCCGGCCCCCCTCGCTCTTCCTGTCCCTTCCCCCTCCCCGCCTCCTCTTCCGCGCCCTTTCTCACTCTTGTGTACTTTCGCGCGCCTTCCCTCTCCCTTACCCCTCTCGCTCGCGCCTCGTCGCTCGCTTGCAGCACCCATGGCGTGCCGGCTATGTGTCGCTCTCCTCTCGCCCCGCCCCCATCCCGCTGTCCCGTTTGCCCATTGAGCTTCGTAACTGCCTCGCCTCCCCCGTACCCCGTCCATCCAAAGCGTCAGTACTCCCCCTTGTATGCCGACGGCTCCCTCTTCGCCTTCTCTTTCCCTCTCCTGCTCTTTCTCTAACCCTGTTTCCCCTTCTCCCCCTGCCTAATTCTTCCGCTTCCCCTCTTTCCCCCCTATCCCCCCCCTTCCTCACCCCACCCCCTTCCCTCCCCCGCGCTCCTCTGTCTCGCCCCCCAGCTGCTGGTGTCGCTGAAGGTGCGGCACCCTGACCGCATCACCATCCTGCGAGGCAACCACGAGAGCAGACAGGTGCGCACAGAAAGGAGGGGGGTGCCATGAGCCACATGCGTGCTGCCAGGGGAGAAGGGAGGGGGGTGGCGGGGGGGAAGGGAAGGGGGGGTGAGGGGAATGGGGGGAGAGCGGTTTTGGGGAAGGGAAGGGAGTGGGGGTTGATGGTGTGGATGGGAGGGGACATGGAGGGGACGAATGGGACAAAGGGAGACAATGGGGGGGTGCCATGTTTCTCCCTCGTAACTTTTACACCCGCTGCTCATCGATATTGCCTCTCGCCTGCTGTTGTGCTCACTGTTCCATCCAAGTCATTCCAAGTCTCGTGTCTCTCTGATCACCCTCCTCTCACCCCCCCAAACCCCCTCATCCCGCCCCTCCCCCCTGCTGCCTCCCCCTTCTCAACCCCCCTCTTGCTCCACCACCTATGATAATTACATTTCGAATTTATTCCGCCACTTATGATTGACATTGCCTCTTTCAATGCCTTCCTTCCCCTCTCTTTTTCACCTTTCATCTTTTGCACTTCCTCCCCTCCTTTTTTTTTCCCTCTGCCCGTCCCACACTCTCTGTGGCAGATCACTCAAGTGTATGGTTTCTACGACGAGTGCCTACGCAAGTGAGAACACATGGCATTCTACGGCATAAAATGGTTTATTCTGCAATTTTCTTCAGCTTTCTTTCCTTCGCTCGTTTCGCCTCCTGTTCCCTTCTCTCTCTCTCTCTCTCTCTCTCTCTCTCTCTCTCTCTCTCTCTCTCTCTCTCTCTCTCTCTCTCTCTCTCTCTCTCTCTCTCTCTCTCTCTCTCTCTCTCTCTCTCTCTCTCTCTCTCCTCCTCTCTCTCTCTCTCTCTCTCTCTCTCTCTCTCCCCTCTTCTCTCCCTTCTTTCCCTTTCTCTGTCGCCTCCCTAGTTCAACACTGAGGCCTTTTTTTCTCTCATTTCATCTCCGCGTCTATCTCCCATCCCTACCCTCTAAACATTGTATCAGGTATGGCAGCGCCAATGTGTGGAAGATGTTTACAGACCTCTTTGATTACTTCCCTCTCACAGCACTTGTAAGGAGCTCCTCCCTTTACTTTCTTGGTCTCCCTTGACCAGATATTTTCCTTCATTTTTTCATTTTGTATGTCATACTTTAGTACCTTGTGTTACCCAACACTCCCTTCTTGTGGATCCAGCTACTGTTATGTTGCAATAACAAATTGGCGCATGAGGGCTGTTCCCCCCTTCTCATTGCTGAACCTATTTTCATTTTTTTTTCCCAATCAATACCCCTCTTTCTCCATTGTTCCCAACCACTACCTCCTCACCAGGTGGAGTCGCAAATTTTCTGTCTGCATGGCGGTCTCTCCCCCTCCATAGACTCGCTGGACCATGTGCGCCAGCTCGACCGCATCCAGGAGGTGCCGCATGAGGGACCCATGTGCGACCTGCTCTGGTCCGACCCTGACGACCGCTGCGGCTGGGGCATCTCCCCTCGTGGCGCTGGCTACACATTTGGTCAGGTCTGTGTGCCTACGGTGGTGAAGTAGTCGAGTGATGGAAGAAGGTTTTGGTGTTGGTTGGTATCCAGATGTTCAAGGTTGGAAGCTTGGGTGAGGGACAATGGATGTTGAGTAAGAAGCAACTGAATGTCATGTGTTCACCCGTTTTTTTTTCCCATTGTTCTCCCAATTTCTCTTTCCACCACCCAACAGGATATTAGTGAACAGTTTAATCAGAACAATGGACTCAACCTTGTTGCACGTGCTCACCAGCTGGTGATGGAAGGGTACAACTGGGCACATGTAAGTTCAATACTATGGAGCATCTTTTGTAATTTTACTGGTAATGTCGTTCTCTGATGAACGTTTTTGTGCACTTCAGGAGCAAAAGGTTGTGACAATCTTCAGTGCACCCAACTACTGCTACCGCTGTGGTAAGTTGTCTGTCTTGTCGCACCTGTCATGCTTTTGTAGATACTTGTTGCTTTAGCGTGTTAATACATTTTTCAATCTCTTGGGTTTCTGATGTCATTGATGCATTCTCTGCAGGCAACACTGCTGCAATCCTGGAAGTCGATGAAAGCATGAGTCAAACTTTTATTCAGGTGTGTCCTTTGTCTGCCAAAACTCGTCTGGAATGGTGCTTTGTGAATTCATCATGACCTCCTTTTGTTGTCAGCATAACATGTCTTCTAACTTCCACACGTTCTCGCTCTGATGTCCTGCCTTGTACCAGTTTGAACCTGCTCCAAGACGAGGCGAACCCGATGTCACTCGCCGGGCACCTGACTACTTCCTCTGACAGCTGTCCACTGTTTTAGCAGATCTGATGTGAAGCTTTAAGTTTGCCTAGTGGTGCTTTGAACTGCATGTTCTTCCCAACCACATGTTTTCCATTTCGCAAGGTGCATCTTCCTTTTTTTTCATTCAGGCTGGTCATGACTGGATCTGCCACCGATAGTGTCCAGCTGTGCTGCTTTCGATAGAGTCAGAGGTGCTTTGTGAACAACTCGGATGTGCTAAAACAGCTGAATCTTGCTGCACTCACGTGAAGCAGGCACCTAAATGGCCTGGTGAACCTCAGGTTTCACATCCAATCCAACCATTACAGGCGTTTTGGGGTGCTGGGCATTCAAGGTCAAAGATCATACAGGAATCCCATAATAATATATGATACAACGGAGCAGGAAAACGAATAAGTAAAGTACAATGGAGCTGAGGAACTCTAGCAAAACGAAGATGGTCACTGATAGTTGCTCGACTGGATGGACGTGGATGCAGACTGTAAGGTATAAGGAGAGCTTTGCCATGTGTTAACGCCAGCCCATTGACCGTCCATAATGGAAGAAGCGTCCCATAAACTGAGATATGCGAACACGGATTTAGAGGGGAAAGGATCCTCATCCGACTTCACTACTTCACGAACTACCAAGCCATCTATAAGCCACCTGCATCACCATATGTTTGTCAGCGAGAACCATGGGTGTTGAGTGAAATCACGCACAAGGTACAAACACTCACTGAAGCTTTTGTGGTCCATAATATATTGTGTAATTGTGGTAGTCAGTGGATGCATCGAAGCCCAAATCAACAACGAGCTCATGATGGCCAACGCTGGATTGAAAATGAAGGTGTCACTTCACGTCAGGCCAACATCAATCTCAAATGATTGAGTACTTACCCAGAAACGTAATAGTTAGTCTGTACTCTCCCGTTGTCGCCAAGAAACTCGAAGTCGATTTCATCTTGATCAGTACTCCCCTCCCACGTGGAGACATAGAATGATGAAACTACACCACTGCATTGCGGGTCAGTACGAGCCACGCGCAGGTGTGGCATCCGCCTAAAGAGTAAGACTGACCTGACAGATCCTGGTGGTGTCTTCACCAGAGAAGAGAACGATGTTCCAGGATAGTACTTGTCATTGGTTCTAGCTCTTCCAGCTGGACAAAAACGCGGTGTTACAATGCTGAAACCGTGTGTCTTTTGCACGGTAGTTTGCGCGGCTCCTTACTTCCTGAGGGGTCGAGTGTAATGGAAACATAGCTTCCTTGAATGGAAATGTGATCATACTCTCCTGCGTCCTTGGTATAAAGGGTGGCGTCTGACCCTTGTAGAACTCGTCTGAACTCGCGTGAATGAACTCCTGGAATCGACAAAAGGCTGACAACAGAAGATGTGTTGTTAGCAGTTTAAACCTTCAAACAGCAACGTATTTTGAAACAGTGAGAATCAGGCGTCACAACTTACGTGAACACAAGAGCGACCGAGGCGAGAACAAACTGAGATGGTTGGGAGGACGCCATTCCAAGAGGATCAGCCTGGAAGGAAGCGAGCAGGCTGATCACCCCGAGGAAGGCAAGTCGTGAACTTAAGCCACTTGAGGTTCTTTATGCTGAAAGCGAACCTGGTCGCGCCTCGGGACTGACGACTCAGTTGAATTGGAATAAATCTGTGAAATGCTATTTCGAACTACAGTACGCCACCATAATGGAAACGCAATGAATTTGTGATATCATATCTGTAACCATGGCTTTCAAGAATTTTTAGCAAACATGTAAAATGCTTACTCCGACGCATCATGCTTTATACAATCAAGGTTGGCACATAATGGTTCAGATGAGTCACTTCTGTCTGTACTTTCAATCAAGTCCGACCTAACTGTACAGTTTCAGCCACTATCATTATTGTAAAGAAAAACATTACTACAGTTATTACAAGAGGCCTCCAGACACTGAGACATGACATGCTAGGAGCTTATATACAGGGTGGACGTCACCAGAAGCTTTCCTACAGGACAAGGATGTACAAATGCTCAAGGGCACCAGAACAGCCTCTCACAGACTGCGGTCTGATCAACTCCTTATCCATTTGGTTGGCAACAGCACTGAAGTATGGTTGGGCCTGTAACCAGCCCTTCGGGCGGCTACCCTGTACTAACCAGCAGCAACAGGATGTTGGAAGAACGAGGGATGAACTGGCTTGGGAGAGGCTTGGAGGACGAAGAGTGGAGGTATGTACAGGAACTTGATGCATGCACAAGTGCATCATCAGTATGTGCAGGCTGGTGGGAGCAACCAGGATCCTACACATTGAGGAGGAGGCCCATGATGACAAGGAGCAACTAGCTGGTGATGTGGAGTAGCAATGATGCGAGTGGAAGACGTGACGAAAGCAGGAGGTGAGGATCAGTATAACCTGGAGTCGACGGCTTCAGGTGCGTGCCATGGGTTGATGACCGGGCACACGAGGTCCCTGAAGACGGCTGCGTCCAGATAAATTTACTAAGCAAGGTGAGGTATGAAGGAGCCCGTCCAGAGCTTGGAAGACACATGTGTGAGTCCAGTAAGCAGCTTCTCTCCAGTTAATCGAGCCGGTTCTGCCTTCTGAGCTTGATGTCTGACTGGGCCGACAAACTCATTCCAAAGCTCTGCTGCACGGTGCTGCAGCTGGGAACATTTCTTGCTGTACGCAGTCCTGGTTGCCCAAACTACTCGGCAGAAGCGACTGCAGCAGCAGCAGCAGCAGCAGCATCAGCAGCAACATATTGAAGGGAGCATGGAAGGCGACTACCAATGGCTGTGGGTCATTTGAAGGCGTAGGTACTGGAGATAAGTATGGGCGAGGCCAGGAGGGGGTGACGCATGGGCGCACAGTGACCTGGACTGGAGCTCGAATGAAGATTGGCGCACGTGATGCAAAGCGGAATAGCACGCGGGCAGTGGGCGGAGAACGGCCGAGGTGGGGAAGGGCGGAGGGGAAGGGCGGAAGACGCATGGCAGGAGCGAAGGTTGGAGTGAACGGAGGGGGATCGAATGACGAACCCACTGCCACGACTAGTGAAACTGAACCGAGGCCGGGATAGCCGCGGCAGCGTGTTGACGGCGGCGTAACGGACGGACAGAAAGGGAACGCAATCAAGAGAGCACGCGCAACCCATCCATGCGCCCTGCTAGTTATTCGCCGCGCTCGAGTTCTGAGAAGCGAAACCTCTTCCTCCGCTGCGACGCGTTCGCTACGGCGGGAAAACAAGGCGGGTGAAGGCGGCGGAAGCGGCACGAGACGGACGGGACGGGGCAAGAGGCGACAAAAGGCAGCGACCATCCGATGTGAAGAGCCACGACGCTAAGAACGCCAACCCCGGGGTGTCACGAGCGGGAAAAAAGGATCTTGACCAAGTCAACACAACGCGTTTGCGTCTGCGTCTGCCAGCGCTAGTCCGTAAATCCGCTGCCGAAGAGCAACGCAGCAGCGGTTTTCAGGGGCTAGGGATGGCGCGGCTGCAGGATACGGGAGGCGAGTACGGCACAGGAAGGAGGGAGCTTGGGAGACGTGTCTTCAGGAGGAAGACATGTAGCCGTCGCCGTCGCCGTCGCCGTCGCCGTCGCACTTCCCAGCTGCCGTAACGGTTGCACGCACAGCGGGACTTGCGGAGGAAGGCGACGCGGAAGGGCAGTGAGACGCAGCTGCGGTAGTAACAACAGCGACGGCGGCGGCGGCGGCGGCAGTAGTGGTGGCGACATCGCCGGTGGAAGCGGAGGTTCGCTGGGCGTCGTGTTGGGTGCCGTCCGTCTCGCCCTCTACCTCGATGGCCGCGCTGTTGTGCGACAGCAGTCGCGTGCGAAGGCGACGAAGCTCCTCTTGTCGCATCTCCAGTCGCTGAGGACGGAACGAGGGAACGAGACACGGGGAGGCAACAGCGAGAGAGGTTAAAAAAAAAAAAGAGGAAAATTTCAAACCGAGGGCCGACCAATGATATGGAGAAACCGAATGCTCTACAAATAGAAAGAATGACAAGGACAAGCGGAAGGCATAAATTTAACGAGAAGCAGGAAAGGGGAGCACGAAAGTGCGAAGGGAGGAAAGGAGGAGTGCGGGACGGAGCAGCGTTGGTAAGCGCGCATGGCACGTACGTCTCGTAAAGAGTGATTCTCCTCCTCCAGCTGCGCCATCTGCGCTTCCTGCTCGTCGATACGCGCGCGCAGGATCGAATCGCTCCCATCGGCAGCACACGCGGCAACAGCAGCCGCCGCACCATCACCCGCGGCAGCGCCAGCAGCGGCGTGGCTCGCCACAACGTCACGGCCGGGCGCGTCGGCGTCGCACGCAGGCGCGACGACGAGCATGTCGCAGACGACCTCGAAGAATCGCACGTCGAAGCCGGCGACAGCAACGCGCTCCTCCTTGTGCGCGGCTCTCTCCCGGGGAGTGTCCTCGCTGCAGGAAGCACCCTCGGAGCACTCAGCGCGGGAAACAAACGGCACGTCGCGGGGAAGAATCCGCATGCCTTGGCTGTTGCCCTCGCTTCTACCCTCGCGATCGTACGGCAAGGGCTCAGGAGTCCGGAGGCGAATGCAACCGCTCATGGAGCCGTACGGATTGACGCTTAGCAGGGGAGCCATGTCCGCCAGTCCCGCCAAGTCCGGCGCTAAGCCGGGCATGTCTTCGCTGTTCCCGTGGTCGCCGTTGTCGCAGGGAACGTCGCCAGTCGCACATGCTCCTGCCGCCGCCGCCGCTGCTGCTGCTGCTGCTGCTGCTGCTGTTCTCGCGGCGACGCCTGCTGCTACGCGCGGAGGTGCGGAGTCTCCCGCGAATGCAGCAGCGAAAGCGTCAGGACGCTGAAGCAGCAGCAGCGGGGAGGTAGCGGCGTACGGGGCAGGCGAGCTGAAGGACTCGTGCTGGCGGATAATGAAGGACGAGGTGTTGCGGGGAGAGCGCGGCATCAGGGGCGCGGGGGATGACACACTCGCGCGGGCATATCGTTGCCGCCGTTGCTGCGGCTCCTGCTGCTGCTGGGACGACGGAGATGCGTCATTCCACCACGCAGGCCGGGAGTTGCCAGTTGAAGCACCTAATCGAGGAAATTTGCCTTCAGGTATGCGATACCCTCGAATTCCCTTGCTTCGGGTACGTATAGGCCGCTCTCTACCCCGCGATTGCCTCTTCCGGTGGAGACACTGCGGAGAGTTCGTAGCACAAAATCGGTTTGTGCGATAAGGGAATGCGGGAGCGGGAGCGGGAGCGGCGGTGTTGACGGGCTTCAAGGTTCGGGCGGTCGTGCAGTAGCCGGAAGGGAATTGGAGGTGGACGTTAGCGGACATGCCGCTAGCCCAAGGCAGCATTCTGTGATCAGCGAAATCGGTGGAGCGGGTGAGAGAGGCATAGTAACTGTGGGACGAGGAAGGCACTGAGCCTATGAGGAAGAAGGAAGGGTAGGGCTCGTGGATCACACTTCCATCCATGGCGGCGCGGTGTTGTGCAGTGTTGCTCGACTGTCTCGGATACTTGTTTCTTGCTTCAGCAATGTTCGCAGTGCAACATGTGGAAAAGATGTCTTCACGAGGGATTGAAGAAGGGAGTAAAGGGAGAGCATCGAACAAGTGGACGGAAGGGAGGGCGAGGGGAGGAGAACGAGGAATGGTAGGGTTGGGATTTTCCTTGCGAGTAGGACACAGCAGGGCAAGGCAGAAAGCAGAGGAGAGGGAAGGAATGGGGAGGGGAGGGGTCGAGTAGAGTGGATGAGGGGAGACTGGGTGAAGTGGAGTGGAAGGGGATAAAGGGGTTCGCTCGCTTGGTTGGAGAGATCACACATGCGAAGGCGGAATGCGACTCGCGAGTGAGCGAGCGCATATACATTGGCGAAAATGACGCATGCGAGGCGTCAAGTGACTCAAGCTCAGGGGCGATGGCGTGGATGCTGAGGACCAGCGGATGGGGACTGGCGCTGGTGTGAGCGTCGCACAGTCGCATGGTAGAGGCGAGGCGGGTTCTTGGTGTGAACAATGCCTGGTTCCACCAGAGAGCTAGTGCAAGGGGGAATGCATCAGTGCCTTCTACACATGCGACAGTCAAAATTGACGGACGAACGTCTGCCCTTCGCGAACAGAACTTGATGGGCTTTGTCAAACGGAAAGACATCGCTGGTTACACATATTCAGTCAGGGAGACCGTTCCTGACGTGGCGGGGTGGTGGTTACTCGGTGTTGGTGCATGGGAAAGGGAAAAATTGCACGATGCGACAGGCGCCGAACTTCTCTCAACCCCATCGACCAAGCTCGCACCGCAGGTAGGGCGATCCGAACCTCGGCCAAATGGATCGACCTACATGCTCTTTTGCGATAAAAACAGACAATTCTGATGCGTAAGAGGCGGTGGTCCCTCTCGATGTCATTGTTTCGGAAGCGCGATGTTTGGCGCGCGAGCCACGTTGATTGTTTTCTGGGATCTATATTACGCGGGCAAAAACAAAAATAAACCCCATCCAGACGGCATGCCATTCGGGAGCCTCAACCCTAAAATTTTAGGGTTGAGGCTCCCGAATGGCATGCCGTAAGCCATGGGGTTTATTTTTTTTTGCCTGCGGTCAGCATGCTGACTCACTTGGTAGCGTCGTGTAGCGAAACCATTTATGTATAATGGAAGAATCGGAACCTCAAACTGTAATTTCGCCATTCTGACCGTAAAACCAAATGGCACCTGTAACGCTTAGTTTATCGTGTTCGCAGCATGAAGATAACGTGGAAGCGTTTGTAGGTCGATCCATTTGGCCGAGGTTCGGATCGCCCTATCTGTGGTGCGAGCTTGGTCGATGGGTTTGAGAGAAGTTCGGCGCCTGTCGCGTCGCGCAATTTTTCCATGGGGAAGTTGGGGAGGGAAATACTGTACGCGGGACCTCTGCCAGTAGGGTGACTCCCCCCACTCACAACGGATTTTTTTCGGGCTCTGTTCGGGTTTGTTCCTGCAGCATTTCAACTCAACCCCCTTGTCACAAGAAACTCCTCCCACGTGTGCCTCGTCGTCAATGCTTCGCTGGTCGATCGCTGTGACACTGAACGAGCCAATTATGCGAGGCGAGCCAATCAGAGAGAGGCTTGTGCATCACTATACGAGGCTGACGACGACGGAGCTGCTTTGCGCATAGGTCAGGGAGCACCGAAGCAGACTCATTGGCCTAGCCATCGCACAAGGCTATGTGTGCAGAGCAAACGGGCTGGTGGTCTTGGGTCAGGGACTTTGAACAGGTCAGGGCACGGCTATATTTCTAATATACATCGCGTGTACAGAGCAAAAAATCTGTCAGGGTAGCTAGAACTGGTGGTTTTCAAGTACACCCCTCTGGTAGGCCAACCTGATCACAGCTTGGCGAGCTCAAGCGTACAGTGCACTATTATACACGTGATGTATAGCAATTTCTGTCCGGATATTAAGTCACCGAATTGAAGGACGCAATGTGGGTAAAGTGCTTCCGTAACTACAGAGCGGTTGTAAGCACAAACCCTGAATGTAAGGGGGGTGAAGGTGTCAGCCTCGCAGTGTAGACGTGAAATTGATGGTCTGTTTTAAAATCAAAACATGTGGCATCTACGCCAGAAATGGTGTACTTAGGGTTCAAGGGCATTGCACTGTATTCACACCAGCACCAGGAACGACCCACCTCCCCACGCGTCCCTCCCTGATCAGGGATGATTTTGCGGTATCCACGGGAACCCAGGAATTTCACGCTGCCGGGTTCGAGGGCCGTTTGCTGCTTGAGAGGGCAGGCTTGTTGGACGGCTGTGATTACCACACTTTCCCTAATCCAAAAGCGACTGAAAAGGTAATCGCACGAATCACCGATAAGATATCGACGTCTCCTATTGGAGAAGCAAGGGGTATGTTACGATTTCTGTTTGGGAAACTATATCCTAGATCCTTACTTTCAGATTTCTCTCATATTTACCCCCAGGTTTACTCGAAAGGTCCCACTTTCTGGGATTTGGCTCACGCGAGGCCCAAATTATGTTCAAAACTGGTCCTGTAGGGCTCAAATATTGACACGTGTCTATTTCACACCAACAATTTTTGACGGGGCACAAAAACAATAATACCCCTGGGGAAACCAGGACACTTGTTCGGGAGGGATCAACCCTAAACACGGGAACCCGCCCGGTGTTTAGGGTTGATCCCTCCCGAAATGTATCCCGCGGGCAAAAATTAAACCCCTTGGCTTACGGCATGCCATTCGGGAGCATCAACCCTAAAATTTTAGGGTTGAGGCTCCCTCGGATGGCATCCCATCCGAGAGGGTTTTAGTTTTTTTTTTGCCCGCGATCAGCTTGCTGACTCGATTGCACTGCCTGCTTACGCAGGCAGTGCAATATATTACCCAAATTGTGTCCCGTTTCCCCAGGGGTATTATGTTTGGTTTGCCCCGTATAAAAAACCTTGCACGAAATCGACACGTGTCGTAATTTCTGCCCCGCAGGACCAGTTTTGAACATACTTTGGGCCTCGCGTGAGCAGAATTCCGCAAAGCTGGACTTTTTGGGTAAACTCGGGATCAAAATTGAGATATTTTTGAAACTGTGGAGCTGCGATGTACTTTCCCTTTCTGTTTTGTGTAACGAAGCTTGTCCGCACTTCTGTCACCAAGCCTCCTGAAGCTCCCTCACCTGCGGAGCGAACACAAGCAACACACAGCAACCCAGTCCCTCCCCTAAAGAGTTCATCCGTCTGTGATATATTAGCCAAATTTTACCCTATACGTTGAGGTTGCGTATGGCATAAGAAAACTTCTAGGGAAAAACATCTGCGCAAACATGTGCAAACTTCTAGGGGCTTTGGGTGTCAAAGGTCCATTGGTGATCCCCGATTGATTCTAGTGAAGGGTTACAGGTACTCTGCATAGTAAAAATCTAAATTGCTATGTACCATATGATTGCACCAACCACGCCTCAAAGTAATGCCACAATCAATTCCATTCATCCCGCACTCAACAACACCGGAATACCGATATGTCATAGGTAATCTCCAACACCCACTGCCCCTGCAACTTGCCCTGCAACTGTCCATATACACCAACCTCTTCATATCCTGGCCCACCTTCGATTTATCTGCATAAAAGAGCTTCATACACCCAGCCATCACCACCTACACCAAGTGTCTTGTTGAGGCGCCTGAGAACTAGACTCCTAAGCTGCGTGAGTGAGCCCCAGGGACGAAGCAATCACAACATACACCAAGTGCTGCAGGGCACTCTCCAGCTTCTCCCGTGCCGCCTTCCCATCTGCCACCAATCCTTCTGCCACACTGCCCTTCTTCACCTCCACTCGTCTCACCAAAGCTGCTGTTGCTGCCTCCGCTTCTGCTACTGCCGCCGCCGCTGCTTCTCCACCAGCTTCCCCTTCTGCTGCGCCCTTCTTAGAACCATTCCCAGCAGTGCTCCTTGCACTGACGCTTTGGAAGGCTTGCTCCACATTAGCAACACCTGAAGTTGATTCGAAACAACATAGAATTGAGAAAAGCATGTGACGGGCCATTCCAAGACAGCAGGGTCTGGGCGCACGTTCGGAGAAGGGTATATGATGCTACTACTCGTTGTTTTTGCTACATGAAAGGCACACTAGTCAAACAGGCAAAACCCATCAGGCTTGTGCCTCAACACCCTTGCAGCCAGCAGACCAGCAGCACCGAGCAGGCACCAAGGAAGCAAGCCACCAAGAATCAAAGCATGCCAGCACACAAGCAAGCAAGCACGCACGCAAGCAAGCAAGCACGCACGCAAGCAAGCAAGCACGCACGCAAGCAAGCAAGCAAGCACGCACGCAAGCAAGCAAGCACGCACGCAAGCAAGCAAGCACGCACGCAAGCAAGCAAGCACGCACGCAAGCAAGCAAGCAAGCAAGCACGCACGCACGCAAGCAAGCAAGCACGCACGCAAGCAAGAAAGCACGCACGCAAGCAAGCAAGCACGCACGCAAGCAAGCAAGCATGCACGCAAGCAAGCAAGCAAGCACGCACGCAAGCAAGCAAGCACGCACGCAAGCAAGCAAGCACGCACGCAAGCAAGAAAGCACGCACGCAAGCAAGCAAGCACGCACGCAAGCAAGCAAGCACGCACGCAAGCAAGCAAGCACGCACGCAAGCAATCAAGCACGCACGCAAGCAAGCAAGCACGCATGCAAGCAAGCAAGCACGCACGCAAGCAAGCAAGCACGCATGCAAGCAAGCAAGCACGCACGCAAGCAAGCTCGCACGCACGCAAGCAAGCAAGCACGCACGCAAGCAAGCAAGCAAGCACGGGAGCAAGCAGGCACCTTTGAGAAAGCTGCGAATGACTGTCCTGGCCCCCCTGGCCAGCGTGCGTGCACGTGCGACAACGAGCCTGGCTCTCTCCTCCCTCCCTGCCGGCCACCGGAACGAGCCCGTGTCTTCCTCCTCTGCTGCCTCGCCCTCCTTGGGCACCGGCGAGGCAATGCAGGAGTTGGCGATGTGCAGCATGTGGAGCAGACACAGCGCTGATAGCTCCGACAGCCGCTGCTCGCGCAGGGGGAGGAACAGGGGGGGAGAAGGGGAGGGATAGGGGGAAAATGGGGGGGGAGAGTGGGGTTGGAACAGAGAAGGGGAGAGGTACACGTGAAGAAGGTGGAGGGTGAAGGGGGAAGGGTGGAGGGGGGCGAGAAGGAGGTGTGCACTGGACTTGTATCAGGTTGTGATAACAAAGACGAAATAGGAGGAAGAGGAGGAAACTGGAAAGGATTCGGTAAGAGAATATTGTCAAGCATGACTTTAGAGCACACGGGTTCGTAAAGACAATTCCAACTGCTCCAAAAGGATGGTAAAGCTTCCCTGCCATGAACTCCAGCCAGATCACATGCACGCTCCAGCTCAATACTGCCATCCTCGTCCCACTCCCATGCACGCCCATGCCCAACACCTTTTTCCCATCCGGTCTCTCCCCTCCAGCTGCTCCAGTCCCCTTGGCCCCTCACAAACTCTTAGCACGCCCTCTTCCCATGGCTCACACGACGCGCAGCCTCTCCCCCCTGACCCCCTCCGTGGCTCACATGCACGCCCTCAGTGCGGAGGGCATCGAGGCGGTCCACTGTGCGCTGCACCGCCTCCTTCAAAGCACGCCAGCACACAAGCAAGCAAGAAAGCAAGCACCCAAGTAGGCAGGCACCTTTGAGAAAGCTGCGAATGACTGTGCAGGCCCCCCTGGCCAGCGTGCGTGCCCATCCCCTTGGCCCCTCGCAAATCATAGCACGCCCTCTTCCCATGGCTCACACGCACAGCCTCTCCCCCCCGCCCCTCCAGGCTCACAATCACGACCTCTCCCCCCTGACCCCTCCGTGGCTCACATGCACGCCCTCAGTGCGGAGGGCATCGAGGCGGTCCACTGTGCGCTGCACCGCCTCCTTCACTGCCACCTCCGCACTCAGCTTCGCTCGGAACCTGCCATGCCCCACGCCGCATGCCATGTGCCATGTGCCATGTGCCCCATGCCATGTGCCCCATGCGACACACACATAAGTAGGCAGAGGGGGTAAAGGATTGAAGGAGATGCGTAGGGGGTTGGGGATCAGAGGGGGCGAAGGAGTGAATTGGGAAATACGTAGAAAAAGGAGAAAAACAAAAGGAGAGATAGAGAGAGAAAAAGTTACTGATTTATAACAGCAACAGAACTACAGGAGCAGAACGAGGGTACACCAAGCATTTCATTCTAAGTCTCCCTAGCATTCCATCCATCTTCATCTCCCCTTTCTCTTCACTCAACCACCCCGCGCAGCCGCACAGCAGGGGACAACATTACATGAGCAACACACGAGAGCACATGAGAGCACAGCAGAGGACAGAGCCCACTCACCCACTGGCGAGCTCCTGTGCCTTGCTCACACTCGACTCCCTCAGCACATTCATCTCATCCTCCTCCTCTTCCATGCCCTCTATCCCCAGCAACTCCTCCCCTGCACCTCCCTCACCCTCCTCCTCCTCCTCCTCCTCCTCCTCCTCCTCCTCCTCCTCCTCCTCCCCCTCCTCCTCCTCCTCCTCCTCCTCCTTTTCCTCCCCCAGCGTGAGCATGCCCTGCATGTGCTTGACAGCGTCGTCAAACGCCGCTCGCTGCTCTGCAGGCAGCTTGCCGCGTGCTCGTATGCACACCACCGTGTGATGGTCCGCCAGGGCCTCCAGCGACTGGTGAAGAGAGGGGAGGGGGGGTTGAAGGATGAGGGGTGAGATGGAGCGGCGAGGGATGAGCGTAGGGGTTTTTTGAGATAGTGGAGGGTTGAGCCGTGAGAGTGGAAGATGTGCGGTGTGGGTTGAGGCCAGGACATCCATGGAAGCTTGCTGTGAGCTCGTATGCACACCACCGTGAGTGATGGTCCGCCTCGGCCTCCAGCGACTGGTGGAACAAGGAAAGCGGTGTGGGGTGAAGGGTGGAAAGTGTGCCTGAGTGCCACTCACAGCACAGCACAGCGCACACACACCACGCACCTCCACATGCCCAGGGCCACCATAGATATAGAAGCAGCGGTCAAAAGGAGTCTTTTGAGTCGACTCAAAACACACAGAGAATCGTCTCATCACATGCCATGCCACACACGCACCTCCAGGTGCTCAGGGCCGCCATAGATGTAGATGCAGTGGTCAAACGACGTCTCCTCCTCATCCTCAGGGCATCAGGTGGCACTCAGGTGTGCTCGGTGGTGCTCGCTCAGCTGTGTTATTCAGTGCCACCCATCCAAAATGCATCACACACACACACACCACGCACCTCCAGGTGCTCAGGGCCGCCATAGATGTAGAAGCAGTGGTCAAACGACGTCTCCTCCTCATCCTCCTCTCCCTTCTCCTCCTCTACCTCCTCCCTGCCCCACCCCCCAACCCCCCCTCCTCCCAACCCCCCATCACCCCCTCCTATCCCCGCCGCAATCCCCCCCAAAATCCCCGCAATTCCCCCTCCAATCCCGCCACCCCCTCCCCCTCCTCCTCCCCCCGCCGCTCCCGCTCCCGACCCGCGCTCGCTACCCACTCCCCCCACCCCTCCTCCACCTCCTCCTCCTCCTCCCCCTCCATCCGCGCCTCTGTCCCCATCGCCCTCGCCCTCGTCCTTCTCCAATTCAATGCCGGTCTCTGCAACGATGATATCAATGGTGTTCTTCCCCAGGGCTTCCAGCATGCGCATGCCCTGCTCCGCCATGCCCATGCCGCTCTGCCCAGTGGGGGGATGGGGAGGGATTGGGGTGTGGCGGGTGATGGCGGGTGTGACGGGATGGGATGCGTTAGGCGGTTGGGTGGATTGTGGGGAGCATGGGAGAACTGCAGGAGGCTGCGAGTGATGGGGGGGGAGGGGTATTCAGAGGTGGCTGCACCATGTCAATGGTAATTTACCCACCCAGAGCTTCCAGCAGGCGCATGCAGCTCTGACCCCCGGAGGATGGGGGAGGTGGGGAGGGGTTGCATTGGGGGAAAGAGGAAAGAGGGTGCACAATGATGGCTGGCGTGAGAGAGGGGACGTGGGGGGGATCGGGGGGATGGCGAGGCGGAATGGGAGAATGTTGGGGAGGATAAGAGTGTTTATTGTATCCAGAAAGCGCTCGCTGCCTCGATTTCTGGATACAACCTCCCGCCTGCCACATTGCTTGTCCATCTCCCCACTCACCCCTGCACCTGCCCTCTGCGATGCACGCCACCCCCTCCTACTGACTACGACCGCGAGAGATCAAGAGAAGTATGCGCAGTCAAGAACGGATGCGGAGGTTTTACTCCTAGAGTCCTCCAGCAACCCTCTATTCTATTACGCGCCTTGCTTGCAACCACCCTCCGTACGGGCCGCGAGGAGAAAAGATCAAGGAGAGGAGCCTACTTCAAGAATGGAGGCTGAGCTGATGGTGCCTGCATGAGCGTCCTCAGCGCCGCCGCTGCCGCCACTGGTGGTGGTGGTGGTGGTGGTGGTGGTGATGGCGGCGGTGGCAGCGGCCTGCTGCTGTATCGTCTGCACCACGGCGCCAGTGGACTGCTCTAACCTGATGGGCACGGGGCGGGTGGCAAGAAGGTGGAGGCGAGAAAAAGGAGGTGTCGGGACCTTGGCCTGTGCTTTGAAACGTCTCAAAGCCACCCTTCTTCCACATAGCTGTACCGTCTGCACCACGGCGCCAGTGGACTGCTCTAACCTGATGGGCACGGGGTGGGTGGCAGGCGGGGTGGGAGGCAGGGTGACAGGCAGGGTGTGGCAGGCGGGGTGGGGCGAGGGAATAGGAGGAGGGGCGCTTGGCCTGTTTTCGCCGCGGGTTAGAAGAGAGGGAACAGGGTAACGGGAGGCTGGTAGGTCGTGCAACTGGCATGGGGGCAGAGCATGGAAGGATGGCTGATCCACGAGCAGGGCTTGAACGCATGGAAAAGCAGCAGAAAAGCAGCAGAAAAGGGATGATCTGGAAGGGTGGGAATGTACAGAGGAAGCGGTTCACAAAGAACACAAAGATGTGGAGAGATGAATAAGTGGAATGGAGAGGAGAGGAAATACAGAAAATGGGCGGTAGGCAGGGTGAGGGAGGGTTCGGGAGGGTTAGGGAGGGTTAGGGAGAAGACGGGAGGGGAAGGAGCGAAGGGAAGGGAGGGGCCGGGGAGAGAGGGATACGGAGGGCGAGGGCGAGGGCGAGGGCGAGGGCGAGGGCGAGGGCGAGGGCGAGGGCGAGGGCGAGGGCGAGGGCGAGGGCGAGGGCGAGGGCGAGGGCGAGGGCGAGGGCGAGGGGGGTGGTGGTGATGACATACTGGTGCACGAGTGAGAGGCCGCCCATCCACGCCGTGCCCAGCACGTGCAGCGCGCCTGATGTGAGGTTCTCCATGGACTCGTCAAACGCCTTGAAGTCCTGCCATCATGTGCACAGGGGCACAGTCGGTGCAGCACATGTGCAGTGCACACACATGCAGCACACGGAGACGCAATGACATGAGAATAGGGTGGGAGATGAGAGGATGTCGAAACACACACCTCACATGCTTCCCAGGAACAAATGCATTCCAGAAACACATGCGTCTCAAAGCCACATGCACGCCAAAGCCAATTGCATGCCAAAGCCACGTGCATGCCAAAGCCACATGCATGCCAGCGCCACATGCATGAGTGCGCCCGCACGCCATACCGGGTCCACTATCTCTGCGCCATCATCCACATCGTCCCTCCCCGCCTCTGCTCCGCCGCCACGTGCGCCATCCCCCTTCTCCCGCCCCGCGCTCCCCCCACCATCCCCTATTTCCGCCTTCACCACAGCAGGAGCCTGTCTCACCACCGCCTCTGCACCTGCCCCCTCCGCACTCTCCGCCTGCCCACCACCAGACTCGCCAGCAGCAGCAGCAGCAGCAGCATCACCACCGGCACCATCACCACGCCCTTGCCCTTCGCCCCCTTCGCCCTCGCCCTTGCCCGCCGTTCCCACTGCTGCCGCCTGCTGCGCCCCTCCGTCCAACGGCAAGTCTCCACCTGTCTTCTGCTGCGCCTGCGCCCCTGCGCCGCCCTCCCCCTCCCCTTTCCCCTCCGCCGCTACCTGTCCCTCCACGTCTTCGAAGGTCTCGATGATTTCCTTCGCCGCAACGGTCGCCTGGTGGTGCAGGATCGGGGAGAGACGAATTCAGGTTGGCTGGAAGAGTCTTTCGGGGACCGCTAGGAATATTCGCTGCTGTCTGATTAATGCCTTCTCTCTGCCTTCGAACCTCTGCCTTCTACTCTCGCTTCCTTCCCTCTGATTCCTGATTTTTGCCTTCGCTTATTTTCTTTCTGCTAGCTGCAAAAACAAGCAGCAGGGGCTGGTTTCAAGCTAATGGACGAGGGAGGGGGACGCGGAAGGATCGCGAGCACGGGGAATGGGTAACTGGCGGAGAGGAACGAACGTGCGTAGCCATAGACGAGGGACGGGCGACGGACAGGCGACGGGCGACGGGCGACGAGAGACGACAGAGACGGCCGACGAGCGACGTGAGACAAGAAACAAAGAGCGACACGAGGCGAGAGACAAGGAAAACCTCTCACTGAACACTCACGGCGTGAGATATCTCGCCCGTCACCTCCGTCGCCACCTCCTGTATAGCCGTCACTACCGACAGCGCCGCCGCCCACCCGCCTCCCCAGCTGCCCCACCCCCCGCCCGCCGAGCTCTCCTCCGCCACCGCGGCTGGTTGCGGGGATGCTACTGTCGCTGCATCCGCGGCTGCTGAATCCGCCGACGACGCTAGAAGAGGCCTCGCTTCTTCATCCCTTCCGTCGGTTGAGACCTCTCCGCTCTCTCCGTCTCCCTGTTCTCCTTGTCCCGCGTCGTCACCTTGTTCGCCTGCGGGATCCTCCGTTTGTTCCTCGCCTCCGTCCGCCTCCTCCGCCTCGTCCGCCTCGCCGTCCTCTGCATCGTTCTCCACCGCTTCCCCTCCGTCTTCTACGACCGCCTCTTCAGGCCTTTCTGCTGCATTCTCCTTCTCTTCGTCGTCTGCTGCGTCTGCTCGCTCATCCTCCTTTTTCGGACCATCCATCCCTTCCGTCGTTCTTACCAAATCTGTGCTTCAGAAGAGCAAGATCCGCCAATGGATGGATCTCTACCGGACGGTCACTGAGTAGGCCTTCAACCAAAGAGAGGGAGAAATAATGGCGAAGAAACGGATTCTGGAAATGGTACCTGTGCGAAACCCGTCGCTGATTACTGCCGTGAGTCGCCCAAACCTGAACCTTTCCCGTCAAAATTCCCAAAACGCGTTGGTGCGAAACCGAGTCCGACTGCTAAATAATGTCCAAGCTAAGAAAACAAGATTGCTTACCTGAAAGCTAGGCACAGCATAAAGTCACATGACTCTGCTCTGGCCCATGCCTCACTAGTGTCAGGTTCGGAAGCCCGTGGCCTGGTATCTCCAAGCCAAATAAATTGGAGGGAAAAGGAGGGTTCCAGTAACCCTGACAAGCACTGACGTGTCGAGTCGTGGAAATGTATGGAATAAGGCTATTCCACGTGATGACTTGTCAACGGCTTTGTGAGGAATAATGATATATATATACACTTAGTGGTTGAAGGCTTAAAACATCTGAATAGCCGAGTAACTCCAGTGCTCTGGATCTTGCTTTACTTTGGCATTTTGCTATGCTTCACTCTGTTTAGTTACAGCATTAAGAATTAGGCTCAGTCCAAATACGCACACCGAGGCTCCTTCGTATTGCATTCAGACTTCGCATGCCCAACCCTTTGCCCAACATTGATTTCTGATCCCAACATCCATGAATGTGATTGCAATGCGATCTTTAATATTCATTGCTTTGCGTTTTATTTTACCTCGTATCAAGAAATCTCGGTATTAAAAGTATTTTCCTCAAATATTTACATTATCAAAGAGTTTAATTATAATATAAATAAATATAAATATATCCACGATAATAAATATGAATATATGTCCGAGATCAATATAATATTGGCCTGAGGATATTTTCGACATTTAACAAGCGATCAAGACATAGTGATTTGCATAGCCTCGCATGGCTTCATAGGTTATTGGATAACATAACGACAGTTGAAGATATATATTTCAGATTCCACAATGCACTTCAGATACATTTTTCTGATTTTCTTAATATTAGGGCCACCATAATTTTGACAAGTATATTTATGGTTTTATTCTTCTACATATTCTTACTTTCAGCATTAATAAGGTTTAAAGTTTGATTTATTTGTAACATTAAGTTTTATGCTTAGATTATACATGTGTAGTTTTATAGATGTACTTAGCAAATAGTTATACAATAAGACATTTGACCATTCTCAAACCGTTTTTTACCGTAAAAAAAAAGAATTATGAAACAAGTCATCGTCCGTACCTCAAGGATATACGGATCTGGAAAAAACATGTTAATTATATTGTCAGTTTCAATAAAGAATCAACCATAAGTAGGGTTGATGCCTTCTTATTTTTCTTTTCTGATTGCATTTTATTAGTTTGTTATGCATATTATATGCGTCAAACGATCAATTGAAGAAAAATTAGAATTAAGTCAACATCCAATCTTATGTGACATTGTATTATGCGTTTTGGGCAAAAAATAGCAGTCCGAAAGAAAATTACTTGAATCTAGTTCTGTTCAAGTCACATAGAGAGTCTGAAGGTTGTCCAAAGCGAACATATGAGTTATGTCGGTAAATTTCAGCCCTCGGATCAACGGTTCCGACTTTAGGGATCACCAACATCCCTCGATGTCGAGCTTTTGCAGCACTTTGGACTCCCCATAGTTCCGTGGAAGGTGATAATAGAGAACGATCCGGAGATGAGATTTTTAGTTGATTACATATGCAAACTGTCCCTGGACCAGACGATGTTGAATCCATTTTATCCCGTCACTTCTAGCATTTTCCCTTTCCGCAACCCTCACAGCCCCCCGCCGCTCCGTACACCTTCCCCCAACCCCCAGGTGCGTGGTGAAAACGCGGATTCACCCCCACTGGCTGAAGAAGCTCTGTACAGTACCGTCCCGTTCCGTCCGCAAGTGTCACTTCCTCCCGGGGCTGCACTGCTGCCAGCAAGCTTGGTGCGGAGCGGGCTGGGCTCGACGACCATACAAGGCACCTGCTGTTTGCCATGAGTCCACTTCCCTTCGCATTTTGCCAAATGGCTGAACCAGTTTCTCGTGACAGCTTGCTCGCTCCCTCCACAATTGCTTCTGTCGGCACGGCATAGGGTTCTGGAACAGCCTAGCTGCAGTACACCTGATTCTCACTGGATGGATGCTAGTGTGGCCTTTTCAATCAGTATGAACGTGCACGTCTACTTCGCATACCTGCCGAATCTGCCACAGAAAAAATCAGATCTGGATTTGAGAGAAAGGGAGGGAATCAAAACTTTAATCTGCGTGCATTTGCCCATTCTGATTTGCATAAGGACAAAGATTATTTATTAAAGAAAACTTAAAGGCAGAGGTTGAGTAACATGTGTACTCAGAGAAGGGAAAATCCAGAGAGTTTACCGACAACGAAATGCTTGCACAGAAACGGACGAACCACCGACCTCACCGTCCCTCGTTTGCAGCATTCGTCCCTGCCTCACCACCAACATCATGCACCTACCCAACCAGCCAACAACATTTGTGTTTCGTATTTTTGCGAGATACAGTGCGGTGCAGTTGTTAGGGTTCGCCACACCCCGTCACTACCAGCCACCGCGTCGTTATTAGTAGTACTGTACCCGCATTCCTTCATCCTACCCCCCCCACCAGCCCAACCTTAAGGTTCTCCCGTACTCCACCGTTTCTTTGTCGCGGTAGTTTTACCTTAGAGCCGACACTCTTCACATCCAAGTTCGAGGTGTTTCGAAACGACACGACAGGATTCTGACGGTCAGGCAGGCAGGCTGAAAACACGCAAGGTAGCAGGCATATTGGAAAGACCTCACCCGTATTCTTAGTGCAGGACCCGTCGACGCCAATGCACTAACGTTTGAACGTGGAATTCATCCCATTAGGTCGCTAGTTCTCCGACCATAGTCAGCACATCGCTGTAGCTCGTAAACTAGTCCTCCGGATTCACTTGACCCTCGCGTGGCTGCGTCGTCCCTCCCGTTCCCCTGTATTTCCACGACCAACGGTCAACGGCAAACTGAGCAAAGCCAAGCCATTCACGCATACCTATCCACCTATCTATGAGGCGACTACGGTTCTCAATCCCGCGCCACTGGGAGTCATGCGTGGCGCTATCGCTCATCGCCAGCCTTGTGGGCCTTGTCGGTCTAGTTGGCCCGGCGAATGCGCTGGTGCAGGTCAATAACATGCAATGTGAGCATCGCTGCATCGCTTCCTCGCTGTCTCGCTGTCTCGCTGCCTCGCTGCATCTGCTGCATATCTGTGTTGCGTCCTCGTTCAGAGTTTCGCAGTCTCGTCTTTGCGTTCCGCTTTCGACTCAGTGCTGTCCGCGCTCCTTCTTCCTCCGCTCTCAGCCTCGTCAGCACCCATTCAGATATTTGCGTTTAGCTGCTAAGTTAGTCGCAGCTAGATTCGGAAATAATCACGTTTAGCGCTTAAAACGGTTAACTCAGCTTGCAGATATTCTTTTGTTTTAGGGCGGAATGTGCCCGTGGTCTTAAGATTCCTTCTCTTTGCCAGTCTTCCCCCCTTGAAGCTTTGCTTTCTGGTTCTACGCCCCGCGTGCTCCCATTTCTCGGTGCTGGTAGCGACTTTCGCAAGTATTCGTAGCGTTTTCGCAGACCGACCCAGCTACACTCACGTCGCCCACACGGCACGACACCGCTCCCTCCCGTTCCCCAACCACCTCTCCTTTATAACCTTTTTGCCATGTCCCATTCCCCCGTATAATATTCTCCATTTTCCCTGTCATCCGGCTCTTCCCCTTCTCCTCCTCCCCCCCGCAACCCGCCTCTCCCCCATCCCTATGCTCCCCACTCCCACCCCCCCGTCCCTCCCTCCCCGTCCGTCCGTCCACCTTATCCGCGGGCGGGGGTGCGCGCAGACGGCTTTCTGACGGATCTGCGCGCGGCGTGGGGCGGCAATTTCATAGAGGCGCGCACGTGGGCGTACGACGCGCGGTGCCTGCAGGGCCTGGACGACGGCTCCGACGACATCCCCGTGCTCAAGGGGCTCATCTGCTCCGCCGATGGCAGCGTTATTGAGATGTGAGTCCCACGAAGTCCCATGGAGCCCCAGGTGGGACGCATGTGTTTTGAGTCGGCTTTTGAGTCCGCTCGGACGACATCCCCGTGCTCAAAGGACTCATCTGCTCCGCCGACGGCAGCGTCATCGAGATGTGAGTCCCGTCCCATGGAGCCCCACGTTGCAGCCATGCCTTTTGGGTCGGCTCGCACGACATTCCCGTGCTTATTGAGGGCTGCTCTGCTCCGCTGATGGCAGCGCAATGGAGATGTGAGGGGGCGCAGGGAGTGGGGTTGGGATGCGGAGTGCGGGGATACGGGGAACGGGATGCAGGGAGCGGGATGGGAGAAGGGGGATGGGATGCGGAAGGGCCGGTGAGGTGAGGGTGGTTGCGGGAGAGGTGGTGATGTGTGTTGGGGGTTGGCGGAGAGGTGGGGCGTACAGCTTTTCACTGGACGCACTGAGTCACACGGGCGAGCGAGGGCACTGAGCGAGCGCACAGGGAATGGGAAGGCGCGGGACGTGCATGTGGCCGTGGCAGCATGAAGAGCTAGGGACGCTTCTACCAGGGAGGGCCAGGCCAGCGCGCTTGACGAGGCCACTGGTTACGTGCCGGTTGGTGCAGATAGTTTAGGCAAGCACTGCGTGACTGGTCGCACGCACCGCCTGGATTGTCCATGATCAGCTAGATGCTGGACGGCTTGCCTTTCACGCTCCCTTTCATCTTCCGATTCCCGAACGCTGGCGTCTCTCTCTGACCCTTACTTTCTCTCGCCTGTCGTCCTCCGCCCCTCGTCCGTGTGCTGTGCTGTGCTGTGCGTGTGCAGCAATCTGCAGCACAGATCGCTCGTGGGGTCCATTCCGGAAACCATCAAATACTTCACTGCTCTCACTGGCCTGTGAGTCACCCCTCCCTGCTGCAGCTGCTGCTGTTGATGGCGCCGGCGCCGTCATTGCATACATCGCGTTTGCAACACGAATCACGCGTGTGTGCGGTCCCAATAACCGTGGCTTCTCTTGCAAAGTTTTCGCAGAGGCTTGAGAATGTGCCCTCTTGCTGTGCTACCTCTTGCTTCCCCGCTTGTCCTGTCTCTATATCCCTCTCTCTCTCTCTCAATCCTCTCTCACTCGCTCTCGCACTCTGCTTCTATCTCTCGCGCGCGTCCCCCATTGCAACGCGGCCGGGAGCAGCTATCTGTCGGACAACGAGCTGTACGGATCCTTACCCGCCGGCATCAGCGCGCTCGCGTCCCTGCAGTACCTGTGAGTCCTGTGTGCGTGTGTGGTGTGTGCGTGTGCGTGCGTGTGTGGGTGCGTGCGTGTGTGGGTGCGTGCGTGGGTGGGTGCGTGCGTGGGTGGGTGCGTGCGTGGGTGGGTGCGTGCGTGGGTGCGTGCGTGCGTGGGTGCGTGCGTGGGTGGGTGCGTGCGTGGGTGCGTGCGTGCGTGGGTGCGTGCGTGCGTGGGTGCGTGCGTGGGTGCGTGCGTGCGTGGGTGCGTGCGTTTCTTGTAGTCTACTAGACTGTTTCCGAGTCGACTCAGTCTTCCTTGCAGTACCCTTGTGGCAGTCCCGCGCTATCCCCCTCTCTCTCTGTCGTTGCGTGTGAACGCTGGCATGTGGCCCATTTCTATCCCCACCATGCCGTGTCTCCTTCCCTTCCCTCCTCTCCACTTCTCTCTCACCGCCCCTCCTCCTCCCTCCGTGCCACACTAATCCTCTCTCGATCCGTTCCGCTGTCCTTTCCTGTCTGTCCCCTCGCCGCTCTCCTCTCTTTCCATTGCACACCACACCACACCACACCACACCACGCCCCCACTGTGCGCGGCTGTGTCACCCGTCGCCCGCAGGCACCTGGACTACAACAGCATATCGGGCACCATCCCCTCCACCATCGCCAAGCTACCCTTGCTGCAGAGCTTGTGAGTGCCGTGCCGTGCCATCGCTGTGCCGTGCCATCGCTGTGCTGTGCGCCCAAGCGCGTGGCTGCTGTGTGGGGTGGGGTGGCGTGAGCGGACGAGGGGATGAGGGTGCCGGGGATTGTGGATGATGAGAAACCACACAGCAGGCAGGCCTGCAGGCAGGGGCCGTGCGTGGCGTGACGTGCTGTAAGGCGACCTTATGCAAGGCAGGCAGGACTGTGTGCAGTAAAGCTTGCTTGCATGCCTCTTATGTGTGGCGCTCTGCACCTCCACCCGTCCCACCCACCCACCCACCCACCCACCCACCCACCCACCCACCCACCCACCCACCCACCCACCCACCCACCCAATCCTCCATCGTCAGCCATGCGCCCTCGTCTTCCCCCACTTGCTGCTCTCCTCCCGAACCCTCTTTGTTCCTCCCCTTTCAAACCACCCCCTCGTCCTAACACCCCTGTTGCTCTGGTCCCAACACCTCCCTTTCCCGCCTTTTCTCCCGCCCCTCCTCGCCCTCGCCCTGTGCGCTGCGGTGTGTGCGGGGGACAGGCGGCTGAAGGCGAATCTGCTGACGGGAACTATCCCCAACATGGCCACGCTCAAGAACCTCGCCACTCTGTATGCCTGCCCGCAACGCCCATGCCCATGCCCATGCCCATGCCCATGCCCATGCCCATGCCCATGCCCATGCCCATGCCCATGCCCATGCCCATGCCCATGCCCATGCCCATGCCCATGCCCATGCCCATGCCCATGCCCATGCCCATGCCCATGCCCATGCCCATGTCCATGCCCATGCCCATGCCCATGCCCATGCCCATGCCCATGCCCATGCCCATGCTGTGCCGTGCGATGTCCTACCATGCCGTGCCATGTCCTACCATGCCGTGCCATGTCCTACTGTGCTGTGCCGCGCTGTGTATGTAGTGCTGCTGAGCTGCTCCTTCAGTTCCATGCGCCTTTCCTTTTCATGTTCATGCTGGTCAAGCCCGATGCTCCTTCAACACTCGTCCCAGCCGTGTCCAGATCTTTCAGCTTCCCTGCAATGCATGCGACACCCTTCCTGCACCAGGTCCTTCCACTGTCCCCTCCTCTCTTTCCGGTCCCCGATTCTCGTATCTCTCAACAACCCGTCCATCTGTTGTTCTCTTTCTCCCTTCCTCCCCTGTCGCCCTTCTGTGTTCGTCCCTCCCTCCCTCCCTCCCTCCCTCCCTCCGTCCCCCCCACGCGCGCCCCTGCAGCGATCTATCGCTGAACCGCTTGAATGGCACCATACCGCCCACCCTCGCAGCAATGCCGGGCCTTGGAGAACTGTACGCCAGGGCGCAGGGACGGGTGGCAGGCGGGGGAAGGAGGGGAGGAGTTCTGGGTTGACGCACATGTGTGTGTGTGTGTGTGTGTGTGTGTGTGTGTGTGTTGGGGGGGTGGGGGTGGTGGGGGGCCACACATGCTTGGGGAGACGGGTATACCTGTGTTGCATGCTGATTCGCAACCATCAATCCTCATTATCCCATCAAATCACCAGTGCTGCTCTAGCGGCCCTTTCTTATTCCACCCCCCCATCCCCGTCCTTGCATTCAACACCCTTCCATTCCACGCCACTCCACACGCGCCATGCCATGCCATGCCATGCCATGCCATGCCATACCACGTGACATCCATGCGACACCATCCCATGCCATGCTCGCGTGCGTGTGCAGGTTCCTAGCAGGCAACAGCTTTACAGGCCCTCTGCCCGCCAAGCTCAACATGCCCAACCTTTACACTTTGTACGCACTCTTCCTCTCTGCACCATCGCCACCCCTCTCTGCACCATCGCCACCCCTCTCTGCGCGTGTGCCATGTTCCGGAGCCCTCCACATCTGCACCTCTGCTTCGCTACTAGTTCGTTGGCTTGGTCAAAGCTGCCACGGCCTAGGCCCTTGCTCATGCCTTGTGTGTGTGTGTGAGTGTGTATGTGTGCGCGGACGCGCGCGCGCTCGCGCATGTGTGCGCGTGCGTATGCGTGCGTGCATGCGTTCGTGTGTGCATCTTTGCGTGCGTGTGCGTGTGTATGCGTGCATGCGTGCATGCATGCATGTCTATGTGTGCCTCGCCGTACACCAGGGATCTCTCATTCAACTTCCTGTCTGGTAGCATCCCAGCCACCGTCAGCACCCTTGCATCGCTGCAGTACATGTGAGCCTCCCTCACTCACTCCCTTCCTGCTGCTCCCACGTCCCTCAATCCCTCGCCATGCTTCTTCATGCCTTTCTATGCCTCTCTTCCTCCCCCCTTCCCCCCTCCTGCCCCACGTCCCTCCTCCCCTCAGTCTCTTCCTTCCCTCACACTCGCGCACAAAACCACACTCACTTCTGCACACTTACCCACCCCCCCCACTTTGTGTGTGCAACCACCTCACCCCCGGCCCACTATGCATGTGGCACCACACTGCACCACACCACACCACACCACACCACACCACACCACACCACACCACACCACACCACACCACACCACACCACACCATGGAATGACCCCCACCAGGGACCTGGGCTACAACCAGTTCTCGGGTTCCCTCCCTTCGCAGATGGTCAAACTCACCGGCCTCCAGCGCCTGTCAGTCCTCCCCCTCCCCCCTTAGGCCCCCTCCACTCCATCCATCTTGCCCTCATGCCCCCTCCCCCCCCCACAACCCCCCCACCTCGCACCTTCTCCCAGCCCCCCCTGTTCCCACTGCTCCACACACTCGTCAAATTCACATTCACATTTGGGCCAGGGCCCAACCCTTTGCTAGTCCTCCCCATGCACATGCTTGCCTGCGCTTCTCTGTGCTTCTCTGCGCTGCTCTGCCTGCCGGCGCGTGTGCCTGCTGTATCTGCTGTGCTGCGCTGTGCATGTATCTGTGCTCCAAGCTTTGAACCGTGTTCCATCTGTGTGCTCCATGCGCTTATGTGTCATGTCTTGCTTGTATTTATGTGTCATGTGTTGCATGCATACATGTCGTGTGTGTGCTGGGATGGGATGGCGTGCATGGCATGGCATGCATGTGTGGGCAACAGGGATCTACTCGCCAATGCAATGACCGGCAGCATCCCTTCCGTCTTCTCCAGCCTCACTGCACTCCAAACACTGTGAGCCCTCGCCATGCCGTGCCGTGCCATGCCATGCCATGCCGTGCCATGCCATGCCGTGCCATGCCATGCCATGCCATGCCATGCCATGCCATGCCATGCCATGCCATGCCATGCCATGCCATGCCATGCCATGCCATGCCATGCCATATCACACACCACAGCCCATGTCCCATGTGTATTCTATCGCCACCCCACCACAGCCTATCCACTCCACGCACATGCATTTCAGGCTCCCCACATTCCAAAAATCCATCACCACACGCTTCCCTGCCATCGCCCATGCCATTCTCCCCCCCAGCTCTCTGGCCCATGTCTTCCCCTGTCCCTCTCCCCCCCTCCCCCCCTCTCCCCCCCTCTCCCCCCCTCTCCCCCCTCCCCTTCTCCCCCCCCAGAGTGCTGCAGCGCAACAGCATGAGTGGCCCCATCCCGCCGCAGCTGAGCCTGCTCACAGGCCTGTCTGAACTGTACGCTCGCACACACACACACGCACCCACTGCACGGGGCACGGCACACGCCATGCGCCGCATGGGGCATGTGATGTGGGGCACGGGGCGTGGGCCATGGGGCATGGGGCATGGGGCATGGACAGGGAACGGGGTGGGTGGGGGTTAGGCTGCGTCTGAGCATGTGTGCATCTCCCTCCACTCGCCTGACGCGCTGCACATCCCCATCCCATTTGCCATCGTCCATCATGTCCATCCATGTTCCTCTCCTCTCCTCGCTGCACGTCTCCCCCTCCCCCCCCCCCCCCACATACCCTCGCCCTTCTACACCTCGCCTGCTCTCCATTCACCGCTTTCTCAATACCCATGCCTTCCATCCCATGCCTCCTCATTCCCTATCCCACTCTCCCCCTTGCCCACCTTCCCCTTGCCCCTCTTCCCCTTATACCCGTCCCCGTTGTGTCCCTCGCCCCCTGTGCCCCTCTCCCCTTGTGCTTTCCCCCCCTCCCTGCCTATCGCCCTGCGTGCCTCCCCCTGCCCTTGCAGCTCTCTCTCCAGCAACGGCTTCCAGGGCTCCCTGCCCGCCTCCTCAGCGCCCTCACCTCACTCACCTGGCTGTCAGTGCCCTCTCTCCCCCCGCCCTCCCCTCCCCCCCCCTCCCCCCCCCCCGCCCTCCCCCCCCCCCGCCCTCCCCCCCCCCCTGCCCTCCCCTCCCCCTGCCCTCCCCTCCCCCCCCCCTCCCCCCACTCGCCACACCCTCCTCTCCCTCACACTCTCTCTCACTCCTCCTCCTCACCACAGCCTCAAGCTCTGTTTCCGTCTCTCCTTAGCACTATGTCCTCGTTTCCTCACCCACCCCCCATCTCTCTTTCCCACCATCAATCTCTCCCTCACACCTCCCGTGCCTCCCTCTTTACGTTCCGCTCGCTCACCGCTCATACCTCCCCTTCCCATGCACATTCTTTCTGCCTGTCGTCCCACACCTTGGCATGCCCAAGGAACGCCCGAGCACATCGGCAAATCCGTACCTCTCCCTCCTCCTCCCCCCCCCTCTCCCCATGGCTGCATGGCTGCCTGTCTGCCTGTCTGTGCCCGCCCCCTCCCCTGCTCACAGGTCCGTCAGCAGCAACCTGCTCAACGGCACCATCCCCTCCGCGCTCTTCACCCTCTCCAACCTTCAAGTCCTGTCAGTCCCGCTGCCCTGGACTGCACTGCACTGCACCCCTGCCTTGCTTGCCGCTGGTGTCTTGCTTGCCACGCACACACCACAGCGCGACACCGCACCTCACCAAACCACACCACACCACACCACACCACACCGCTGCAGCTCATCTCATCCCATCTTATCTCATCTCCACTCCTCTTCCTTCACTCCTCTCACCTCCTCCGCCCCACTACTCTCTCTCCTCCTCTCCTCTTCTCCCCCTGCCTTCCCTTCTACCCCCTCCCCCATCTCACCCACACAGGGAGCTAGACGACAATGACTTCTCTGGTTCCATCCCCGATCCCATCTCAACCCTCTCCTCTCCTCGCTGCAGTTCCTGTAATGCCCTCCACATCCCCTCCCTTACCATGCACTGCACTGCACTGCACTGCACCGCACCGCACCGCTCTGTACTGCATTCCGTCTCGACCCTTGCAGCACCGCATCCTGTCAAGTCTCTCTTTCGGACCCCCCTTCCCCGTCCTCAGCGTCACTTGCTGCATCCCCCTCGTCTCCCCCACCCATTTTCCCACCCCTCCCTCCCTCCCCCACCTCGCCATTGTCCTTCCTACTCCCTCCCCTACCCCACTCCGGGGCCTCACAATCCCCGTATTTCCCTCCCTCCTTGCCTCTTGCCCCCGCTCACTCCCCTGCCTGCTTCCTCCCCTCCCCCTCCCCTCGCCCTCTCCCTCCCCCCACCGCCCCCCACCCCTCACACCAGTTCCTTGGCGCGCAATCGCCTCTCCGGTGCGCTGCCTGCCTCCCTCGCCAGCATCACAGGGCTCTCCTACGTGTCAGTGCTGCCGCTTGCTCTCCCCCCCACCGCCCTCTTCCCCCTCTCTCTCCTCCCGCTCTCTCCCCCTTCTTCCCGCTATCTCCCCTCCTTCTTCCCCCTTTTCCCCGTCCATGTCTCTCACCCCGTCCTCCCCCACTCCCTGTACACTTAGCTCGTCCAATCTATCTATCAACGCTCATTTCTTTCTTCCCCTTAGGCTGTGCAGCATGCATTGCAGACCCCCTCATTCATCCCGTCCCCCTTATCTGTTTCTCTCCTGTAACTCCTCCCCATTTAACCCCCTTCGTTTTTGCCTCGCAATGCCCCATCACCGCGCCACCCCACCTGGTGTGTGCCGTGTGCTGCCTTGCCTTATGTGTTGTGTGCTGCCGTGCTGTGTGTGTCGTGTGTGCCGTGCCGTGCATTCTCCTGTCGGATGCAGGGATCTGAGCAACAATGTGCTGTCGGGATCCGTGCCAGCGTCCTACGTCTCTCTCCGCACTACCTCCAAGTGGACGCTGTAAGCACACCAAACACCACGTGCCGTGCCCCATGCCATTCATGCGCATGCTCCCGTCCCTTCCTCCCGTGCATGTACTGTACTCTCACACACACATGTTGCCACACACATGCTCACAACCCACACACATTTTCCCACACGAATACTCCCATCTCCCAAGCCTTCCCAGCATACACCATCCTGTCGCCTCGCCTCCTCTCTCCCTCCCCTTCTCCCTTCCCCTCGCCCTCCTGTCCCACGCCTTTTTAGGGACGTGCGCAGCAACATGCTAGTGGGCAGGTGGACGTGACGTGCTAGCCAATAGCACAGCGTGGCACGACCACAACTACCTCTCCCTCTACCGCAGCTTTCGAGTCCACTGAAACAAACTCCCCACCCGGCTCCCCCACCTTCACAGGGACGTGCGCAGCAACATGCTAGTGGGCCAGGTGGACGTGCTGGCCAGCAGCACAGTGCGGTATGACCACAACTACCTCTCCTCCCCCCCGCTCATCCTGTCCCCTTCCCCACACCTGCACAGGGACGTGCGCAGCAACATGCTAGTGGGCGAGGTGGACGTGCTGGCCAGCGGCACGGCGTGGTACGACAACAACTACCTCTCCTCCACCGTCTTCGACGCCTCCTCCTGCGACGCCTCCACTCCTCTCAACACCGTCTCCTTCCGCCGCAACTGCATCCCGCCCACCGTGTGCGACGCCATGCCGCAGCGCACCGACGCGGAGTGTGCTGCGTTCTGCGGGCTGAAGCCGGCTGACGGGGACGTGTGTGGCGGGCAGGGCACGTGCGTGCTGCTGCCGCAGCAGGCCGTGCAGGCGGGCGTGTGCACGTGCGGGAGCTCGCTGCAGAACGGGGAGGACCCCCCCCCGCCACTGCGTGTCCTGTGAGTTGCAACCATTGAGCCATGGCTTGGCATGGCATGGCATGGCATGGCATGGCAGGCTCTTGTTTGTTTTGTGTGATGGGCACGTCAAAGGGCCGACTCATGTATGCAATCACCATCTCTCTTTTTCTCTTCTCCCCCCCCCCCCCCACCCCCCCCGGCCCCTCTTTCCCCCGATCTTGAAAGTACTCGCTGTACCTTGCTGTACTGCTTTCTCCTCGTTCCCTTCTCGTGGCGTTTTCTTTTCCTCATCTCCTCTTCTCCTCCTCCCACTGCCCAACCCACTCTCCCCCTCGTTCACTTGCTCGTGTTCTCTGTCTCCATCCGTTGCTTTTTCCCCCATCACATCCGCACCCTTGCTACCATCTGCACCCACTTACCTTCCATGTCCTCGATGCAGTCATGGAGATGTTCTCCCCCTCTTTCCATCCCCCTCCCGCTCCCCTCCCTCCCTGTCACAATCACAACCCGCACATCCCCCTCCCCACCCCTCCCCTCTCCCCCCCTTTCCCAACAACCAGCCTCCGCGCCCCCATGCCCTCCTCCACGACCCCTGCTCTCCTCCTCGCTCCCCCGCGTTTACCGTCAGCGGCGCAGCAACAGTGAGCGCCACCACAGGCGCCATCACTCTCACCACCGCGGTCAACGAGTGGGGCGCGGCACTCCCTCACAGCCCCTACGCGCCTCTTCTCCTACGGCCTCCGCAAGTCCGGCTGTGGCCGCCCCTTCGCCTTCTCCGTCCTTCGCCTTCCAAAGCACCCCCGCGTCCGGGAAATCCTCTGGAGGACTCGCCTTTGTGATCGCTGCCACTGACACAGCCGCAACAGGAGACGTGACTGCCCGGGCTCCTACTCCGGCTCGGGCAGCGAGCGTGGCGGTGGAATTCGACGGGTTTCAGGACAAGGCCGTGACGATCAAGGACATGTCTGCGAACCACGTGGGGTTGAACCTCAACGGGAATCCCTTGTCCGTATCAGCGGTGACCTCCCCGCTGGTGGCGGGCGATGGCAAGGTGAAGTTCGCGTGGATCGACTACGTGCCGGCGGGGGATGCAGCGGGGTCGCTGTCGGTGTTTGTGGCGGCGACGGGCGTGAAGCCTGCCAAAGCGGTGCTGAGTGCGGCGCTGTCGCTGTGTTCTGTGCTGGCGCCGGTGGAGGGGAGGAGTCGTTCCACGTGGGGTTCACAGGGGCCAGCACTGCGCTGGTGGGGCAGAGGAATGTCATTCTCAACTACACACTTTCCACCAGTGCGTGTGCTGTGGGGGGCTGCTGGGAGCGCCTGTGTGGGGTGTGGGTGTGGGTGTGGGTGTGGGTGTGGGTGTGGGTGGGGGGAGGCGGGTGGGGTTGTGCTGTGCTGTGCTTTGTTGTGTCTGTGTGTGCATGCGCGTGTGCGAAGTGTTGCGGCATGGTGAGGGTGGCCGTGACTGCCTTAGCACCTCATATGCACTGTGCTTCGGTAGCATTCTCCTCGGATACTTAATGCGTTCATCCTCTCTCCATTCTGCTCTGCTTGCTGTGGCCTGCTCACGGCAGGTTTACCCAGCCCGCGCCCTCGCACCAAAGCCCACTGTTGGTGAGTTACTCACTTCTCACTCAATACCTTAGGTGCCCCCGCCCCGCCTTCTCTGTACCTTCCTCTGCACCTAAGGCACTTACCTTGCTTTTATCTGTCTCTCTGTGAGTTTGGTTCTGTTTCAAGAAGGTTTCCTACCTTGGCTTTCCACCCCTTTCTT